TTTCAGTGTGTAGAAGTAACAAACATACAAACATTTTATTTTATAATCGTAGTGTGCTTACTAAAATTAATCCAAAAACATCTCTTTTATCTTTGGTAAGTGCAGGCGCGGATCCAGAGTTAAATTTTGGGGGGGTCATAGGCTGAAATATACATATAATAAAACAGTAACTTAGCAAAATCTGTATATGAAATATTTTTTATAAACAATTAAGACCAGGTGCGGATCTAGATTTCAGTTGGGGGGAGGGTTCTGGGGTTCAAAAAATGAAGACCTTAAATTTTATGGCTTTAAAACTTTTGCAGGTATATAAGGAACAAAAACCCGTAAAACGCCCCCGCTGTCCAGCTACCCCCGAGAAATTGGGGGATGTAAAACGTTGAAATATTCTTTACAAAAGTTGTAGGTTTAGTAAAAATCTACAACTTTTACAATAACAAGGTTATGACTTTTTCAAAATTTTCAAGACCTACAATTTTTTAGTAAATTGTTTTTATGTATGTATGTCTTAAGATTTAGCCAGCGGAAGGTTTCTAGGGAGGACTCGATAAATCCAGTTATTGTATCTTCCCGTGAGATAGAAAGATTTTCTTGAAGTAAAAGATATCCTAAACGTTGAATCGAGTAATAAGTTATCACTTCACCAAATTTCGTTGAAATCAGTTCATTACTTTTCGCGTGAAACGCGCATACAAAAACAGACAGACATACAGGCAAACAGACAAAGAGACAAATAGACAATTTTTTTAATAACTATTGTTTTGGGGTCTATGTTGTGTGTATAATACGTTACAAATAAACGAAAACATCTATCCCACGGGAACCGTACATTTTCCCGGGATAAAAAGTAACTTATTTGTTATTCTGATGTATGACCTATATTATTGTAAAGTTTCATCAAAATCCAATCAGTAGTTTTTGTGTACTAAGCTGTTAAGTTACTATAATTTTTTGACTGTCCCACGGGAAGCCTTTAATTTTCCGGGATGAAAAGTAGCTGATTTGTTATTGTCATGTATGAGCTATATTATTGTAAAGTTTTATTAAAATCCAATCAGTAGTTTTTGTGTACTAAGCTGTATAAGTTATTATGGTTTATTAACTATCCCACGGGAACTATTTAATTTTCCGGGATAAAAAGTATCTACGATGTTGCCCGGGGATATAACGTATCACCATGAAAAATTTCATTTAAATCGGTCCAATAGATTCGGAGATTAGTCCGTACAAACAGACAAACAGACAGAGAAACAAAAAATTTGAAAAAAATCTGGATTTGTTCTATTTGTCTTCTTACACCCCCCTGACTCGATTTTTAACATTTTTTTGCTATGTACAGACATTCGACCTCTACTGTTTAATTATAGTATAGATTTGCAATTTTTTGAACACGACAAACATGAGATAGTATTGTTCGCTGATGACACTTCACTTATTTATAAAAATGAAGCGTAATTTACTAACTGTACGACAATGTAAACAACGCTCTCTCAAAGGTTGTCTATTGGTTTAATTCGAATAATTTATTATTAAACTACCAGTACCACCCGTAGCTTCACCCGCGCTCAAACTTCCGATCGTTACCAAACTTCACAGGATCACCTACTGGGCTAACCTAAAAATTGCCTGAAAATTTCATCAAAATCACTCCCACTCTTTGGAGTCCATAGGGAACATACACACAACGATGTTTATTTTATTAAATCAACAATTTAAACGTATTTATTTCACGGAAAATGGAGTCTTACATGAAAATTTAGTGACACACCGACTGCAGCGCCACCTAGCGTAAAATTATATCCAAATTGGTCCAGCCGTTTAGGAGTTAGGTGACAAACACACGTTAAAAAAACAAAATTAATAAAATTTTCAACATCTAATGTTAAAATTATGTAATATTAAATGGGGAAGTGTTAAAACCGGTATTATCATAGTTCCAAATTGCAGTGGGGGCCCCATATTGAGGGGCTAGCGAGTAGACTCAGCTCTGCAGCGTTCGTGGTAAAAAATAAGACTTATTATTGACGTAGATACAGCTCGCATAGTATATTTTGGTTATTTTCATAGTATTATGCCCTATACTTAAGGTATCTTACTATGTGGAACTGCAACTGCCATCAATACGATTTTTGCCCTGCAGAAAATAGCTATTCGTGCAATTTATAGATTAGGTCGTAGAATGTCATTATGAGATAAGTTTAAAGCAATAAACATATTGACTGTTGCTTCTCAGTACGTGTACGAAAATGTTATGTATGTAAAATCGTAAAAAAATTACACGAATTTCCTAAGAAGTATGACTAACATGCATAAAATTTATACTAGGAGCAAACACAAACTTGTAATGCCTGTGACTCGTCAACACAGTCAGTACCTAATTCTTTTTATTGACTATGTTTACGCTTATACAACAGGATCCCAGAAAATGTTCAAAAAGCTTCTATCGCCAAATTCAAAAGAAACGTTTGTGCCCTAAAGGATTTATAAATAATTAATGATTTTATAGAAGATGGCACGCCTTAAGGAATGAAGTGATCGCCTCCTCCAGGCTACTTCAATTTTATAGAAATACTAGCAGAACTCGCGGCTTCGCTCGCGCTAAAACTACAAAAAGATCGAAAGAGGTAGGTTTCATACCAACTTTCATGCCCTATTTTACCCTCTTATGGAATGAATTTCGAAAAATACTTAAACACGTTAGTTAATTATATTGAAAAGCATTAATACCAAGTTTCAAATAATTCTGATCATTTATTTTTTTGGATTGTATTATAACGTGTTTTCCCGTGGGAATGAGATGATCTCCCGCGATAAAAAGTAGCCTATGTCACTCTCCAGCCTTCCAACTATCTCCACGCAAAAATCACGGCAATCCGTCACTCCGTTTCGACGTGAAAGAAGGACAAACAAACAAACAAACAAACACACTTTCACATTTATAATATTAGTATGGATTGTAATTTATAATTTAATTTAAAAAATATAATGAAATAATATTATTCCCGCTGAGTTTCTTTCGCCAGTTCTTCTCAGGTCTGAGGCTTCTTATCTCCGAACAGACCAGACCTAACTGGATTTTAATTATTATGTGAATTTCATCAAATGAAAAAATAAACAAAAAAAAATGAAAGCTCTAACTATTAATAACAAGTGCATGATAGATGATAAGCAATCAATAAAAGAAAAAATCTAAGATATTCAAAGATTTTAATGTTTACTAAATATCAATACAATACATAGGTACATGTGGTAATAATCTAAATAAAATACACTATAAATGAGATCATTTTAACTTACAAAATATGATATGTAAAAATTATTAATTAAGAGAATTATTTTTCTTTTTAAATTTTAATACTTAAAAAGTACTATTCAACCCTCTTAAGCGTGCCACAGCTATGCACGGGCCTCCCTTCAATACGTACGCATGCTGGCCAAGTGCGGGTTGACGGACTAAACATATCTTTCGAAAACTTACTACGTTCTCTCATATAACTGCAGGTTTTGCTTACATGCAGGTTTCATCACGATGTTTTCCTTCACCATAAGGCAAGTAGTAATAATGTTGGAAATGATACGCACATGACATTATTAGAGGCGCTAGACCCGGGATTTGAGCCCACTTCACTCAGTTTCGCAAGCGATATTAAATAAAAAGTACAATAATTCTACATTATAATATGAGAAAATTACAATTTTAAATGTAAAATAATATTTACTTCAACATCTATACAGGCATTATATTATGGCAATTTTAAAAATCTATATCAAGGTAATGTTGATGCATAACATTACCGTGTCTATATCTATTTTCAGTTTCTAGACTACCATAATGTCTAATATATCTGTACTGATAAAATGTTCAATATTTTTTTAAAGTTCCACTATACAAGATCAATATTGTAATTAAAAATATAGGTTTATAAATTGTAAGTACTTTTATATTATGTTTTAAACTTAGATACTAGCAACAAAACCTCGCTTTTCTCGGATACATTCCTGGGTATGTTTTTTTTTTAGTAGAACCCTAATTCTTTTCCAAAATAAAAGCAGCCTAAATTACTTCTTATATCATCAGCTATCTGCCAGTGAAGATCCCGTCAAAATCAGTCCAGCCGTTTTGAAGATGGAGGAACAAACAGACAGACAAAAACTAAAAAAAAGGATTTTTCTTATAAGTACCATATATAATTTCATATGCATTTAGAAAAAGATTATTATTTTGACAATACAATAATGTTCTTTCTATCTTTATAGTACATAGATGTCACTATAAATTGCTAATAATAATTTGGTACAATTAAAAAAATAGTTTTATGTCACAAAAGAGACTAGATGAGATGACACAAAAATAAAATACATATAAATGTATGTAGAAACATGAACACAATATGTACATTTTGTTAAAAATAAAGTTTAAATATATATTTATTTACCTACATATTTATTGACTAGACGAAACAACAAATCTTTGGAAACTCTATTTTCATTAAAAAAATCTTATAATAGTTAATTGCACACTAAATTAATCCATTTATTTTCTAATCATAGCATACATCCAGTACAGTAAAAAGGAAGCATTTTCTTTCGGAAGGTTAATATTTATGCAAGTTTATAATCAGCTAATACATTTTTTAGTTTTAAGAGTTTAGAAGTTTAGTCCAATTATAGACGACAGGTTTAGAATATTTGATTTTTAGATTAATATACATTTACAATTAATTGATAAATAAACAGAAATGAATTTGAAAAATGTGCGTTCCACATTCCATCATATTCTTACTCTGAGTCAAGTTTAAGTCATTAACTTCTCATAGTTCTTTATTTCTTTCAATCAAATTCCACAAGGGCATACCATAGAGGAAAATATTTTTTACAAAGTGATCATATAATTAAGGGATATCTTGTTAATTTAGGTATCTGTTAAAAATGAGTTATTTTATTTCATAAGGAATACAAAATTCCTTATCAAAATTAATTGTCATACCTACCTCTTATCATAATCCATATTCTAAAGGCAAATTTAACTGAATCAAGGGAGTAATAATCCCCAGGAAAGTTATAATTAGGTTTTTTGTCCTGTGCCTAAAAGCAGCAAGAAGGCTAGCTGTGTGACAAGGGTGAATTATGAAGTATGGGCGATATAACACAGGATGTTCCTGCTGAGTCACTACTGAATAGAAATCTTCTTTGCTTATCCTGCAAACAGTTAAAGAAAATTTTAAGAAATATTTAAAAGTACAGAACCCTACGACACAATTGGAATATTTTAATTTAATTTAACTGTAACAATTCAATAATTAAAATAATTTTATGGCAAGATTCTTTGTTCTTTAAAAATCTAGTGATAAAATATTGATAATTTATACTTTCTTACTTCATGAGGGAAATTTGTCGGACTTCTTCCAAAGTTAGTAATTTTCCAGAACAATCCCAAACATTGAAACTAAAAGAAGGAACTCCATAGCTTAGATTGAAAAAAATGACGTACTCGGCTCTGTATAAAAAAATCTTATCGTTCTCATCTCGATGACTAACAAATTCTTCCTTTTTAATATAAGTATTTAATATTTCGTTGTCGTTTTGATGTAGGGTCCAACTATCGAAAAATTTATCTGACAGCTTAATAAAATGTCTTGCTGCTGCAACAAATTCTTCGGGCGATATACCGACAGCATTCATTTTAAATAATATAAATTACTATATTGTAATTTTATCAATGGAATAAGCAAAATTAAAAGAATAATTTTATATTATCGAACTACTTTATCTTTCACAGTATTTGTCTTTTTTAGTTTTTTAGCAAATCAACTTTCGTCTTTCAAGTTTCATTGACATATTATGTCAAATGGAATTGACGTTAGATACGGCTTTAAAATTACATCTCATTTTAAATCGTCAGTTAAGGTAGGTAATTTATTTTTATTATTAAAGATACTGTTTTATTCTATTAAGAGATTCCATATAATTATAGTCTAGTCATTTGATAGTTTTGCTACAAAGTTTTTGAAATTTTGAAAATTTGTTATTATGGTATAAATAAACGATAAGATTTCGTTCAATATCGGTTCGGATTTTTCAAGGATAAGTTATTCATTATTCACTATACACAACAGGAATGAATACCACAGGAAACTTACATTATCTTAAATGTAATGGATACTAAATAGGGTACTATTTATTTTTTGCGTCATCAACAAAACTTCAACTTATTTTGAATATTATATTTTTAGACACAAAATTTATATTATGAACTTGTATTATTATGTATGTGCTATTCCATATTAGGCCAGATATTATGTTTATCGAATTAGTAAAAATTGATAAGCAAATTTAATTCTATGTCCAGACCAGAAACATTAGTACACAAGAAGATCTTATTTGGAGTGGACGAATTTTGATGAATCGCAGGACTCGTGTATGCAGGACTTTATAGTAGGGGAGCCCAAGAGGGGATTTTTGTAGTTACTCAAGCGCGGCAGATTATTAAATTGGACACTTTTCAGGATGTGACTAGCCTACCACACCTTAATCTGACGGTTTCAAGTATTTCTACCTTATCAAAACATTTTTTAAATATTTTAATCGGCTTCCTTAGACGCGCCCCTTTATTTAGAAGACTTATATTGTGGTGAAAGTACTCAATAGAGTGCAAGGTAACCTCTTTTATGTTAATCTGCCACGCTCGAGTAACTACAGAAAATCCCCTCTTGGGCTCCCCTACTATTACATTCATTTTAAATCGAAATTTATATTTTATAAATGTTATGATTTTATTATAAGTTTAACATGGTTAAATAAATATAAGTATATTTATAATAAGGTGCAATAAAAAAGTAATATATTTGTTGTCCATTCTTTTTTTTTTTCTTTTTTTTATTGGCTTATTGTCCATTCTTTTGTTACCTACCTTTTAAGTTTTAAGTTCCTGAATTGATATTTAGTCTTCATAATGTGTGGAATTGACATGACATTTCTAGTGTCACTGACTGTCGTATTTTTATAATTACTAATTAGGTACTTGTTGTTACTTGTTCCTGGTCTGGGCTCTGGCCCTCTGGGTATCTACTAGTGTAGGCATTGTGTAGTCGTGTAACGTGTTGTTCAATCAAATCTTGAAGGTAGGTAACTTCTTGTTAATTTATTTTCCATTGAATTATTATATCCCTAGGATTGCAAGTTTCCAAGACATTAAAAAAGTATACTTAATTGTAGAATAGTATAAAAACCATTCTTATTGTACCCTGCAGCAGGAAAACTTGTTTGAACTACCTAATTATTGATGCAATCATATTTAATAAATACTTCACTCGTGTTATTTTGAATGGTTTTAGAGTTGCTAATAATTATTATTATTATCGAGAAATATATATTCAACCCATTTTAACGTCCCACTGCTGGGCACGGGCCTGCCTTTAGTACGAGGGGAATCAGGCCATAAACCACCGCTGGCCAAGTGGCGGACTTCACATGTCTTTTGAAAACTTGCTAGGTTCTCTCAAACATGCAGGTTTCCTCACGATGTTTTCCTTCGCCGTTAAGACAAGTGATAATCATGTTGGAAATGATTCGCACATGAAAATATCCGAGGTGCGAGACTCGGGATTTGAACCTGCTTCACTTGGTGTCCCAAATGAGCCCTCTACCACTGGGCTACCACTGCCTTATAGCAAAGTAGTTAAAATATTTTTTTGAATATTATAATTACATTATATATCTTTTTTATTTTATTACTAATTACTAGGAAAGTAGTCTTAGAATACAAAAGTGATATGAATGATCATAAAAATGTAATGATAAAAATAAATTAGAATAATAAAGAAATTATCATTAAATAGATATATGTAAATATAATGTTTATGTTGTTGTTATAAAATGTTTTCCTAATTTGAATAGATAACATTAAATAATGAATATATATTTGACAACAGCAAATTAAAGCTAACTATAATGAATGCAATGAAGAAAAATTGGTTTACGGAATCATGTGAAATGTGGCCTGGGAGCACTTTTTCATTTGAGGTAAAGGAAGTGCTGCATGAAGAAAGATCTCCATACCAGAATATACAGGTGTTTGACACTATCAGTTTGGGCAAAGTGCTCGTTTTAGATGGAATTATTCAATGCACACAAAAAGATGAATTCTCATACCAGGTAATATAGAAAATATTTATTTCAATATTAAGAGTAAATGAAATTATGAAAGTAGTTAATTAACATATTTAGTATAGTTTTATCATTAAATGATAACTTTACTACCTATTTTAGGAGATGATATCTTTTCTACCACTCTGTTGTCATAAAAACCCTGAGAAGGTTCTCATAGTTGGTGGAGGAGATGGAGGTGTTGCCAGGGATGTAGCTAAGCATCCACAAGTTAAGGAAATAGTACAGGTAATATACCAAATTTTAATATATTTTTTAATAAAATTATATATTTGGAAAATATCATTCTACTAATATATAATAATAATTGTCAAAATGTTTGTTCTTTTATTAGAACAACAACAAAATGGTCACTGTAATCATTCATTTCTATGAATTCATGAGTTCATTCTTATATAATGTCATGATAGTTGTTGTATTCTTATCTTTGATTGTTGAGAAATATTAAACAAAGACTTTTATTATTAATACCTTATTACTAACTAGCAAGTAGCAACTTGGTTTCGCTTCGCTTGGGTTCATCCCTAGGTATGTTTTAACGGTTAGTATGGAATAGATAGTCAATCCTTTGCTCTGTGAAAAACAAAAACAAATTATCCCACGGGAACCATGCATTTTTACGGGATAAAAAGTAGCCTATGTGCTACCCCAGATATAATCTGTCTCTATGCTAAATTTCATTCAGATCCATTTTGCGATTCTGGTGTGATTGCATAACAAACATACATCCATCCAAACTTACACATTTACAATATTAATAACAGCACCATAAATATGTAGGTTTTTATATTTATTATATTAAATCAGTAGAACTTCTTTTAGGACATGGATATAAGTATTAAAAAAATTGTAAACTAATATTTTATATTTATTTTATCTATATAGCCTTCCTTTGGATTTTAAACACAGGTAACTTCTAACTGTCATAAAGAAAAACTTAGGCCCTTCTCCCATTACGAAACACGTAGGATACCATACTCAAGTCGCGTACTAGCTGAATACATGTTAATAACTCGACGTTCGCACATTACGCCACTGAAAAATAACAAAATGCATCGTTTGTTTTGTATTTCTTTAATGAACTGACGAACTTTTTCGAGATGTGTAGGAGACGCGAGGCCCGGAGGACCAGCGCGGCGGTCGTGAACGAGTACGATACCGGTAGTGTAGTGTGCGAGCACCGGTATAAATGTACCTACCTATGTGCGATACTCCGCGGCGATTAGTCGCCGGGAGTCGCAAGATACTAAAGTCGCCTGGGCGGGCGTATCGTAATGGGAGTAGAGCCTTACTAAGGTTTTTTTAGAATATGCGACACTGGCAGGATGTATTGCATCTGTTAACGCAACTCTAAGCCATTTCTTAGTCAATCAGTAGTTTCCTTCTTTAATAAATAAATATTATTATTATTTTCTAATGCAAAACTAGAATGTAAAATATTGACATAAATGTAAAATAAAAAGAATCATATTTTAAAGTACTTTTAGTTGAGTTGTTCAGTTCGGTTTCTTATCAACGAGATAACGAATAAAATTCCATGGAAATACAATGACCGCAAATAGTGTGTAATAAATCATAGTTTGGTTAATAAATGATTGTTTATGTTATTGTCCATGATTTTATTGTTTTATATTTATTGTTCTAAACTATTTCTAAGGAAACAATCACATAAATTCATATTAAGTAGTTTCACAATATAATATTAGCGTGAATTCAATATTATTAGTACATATATTGTAACCTTGCTTTATATTAATTATATTTGGCCTTCTCAAAAGTCATGCTTTTATCTTAAATAGTAAATGTTCCTCGAGTATGATAAAGCTCCATTACCAAATATTGATAAGACTTATCTCGTCTCAATTAAGAAGGTCAATATTTTTATTAAATAACATTAGAAGCTATAAGAAATTATGATTATTTATTAATGTTTGAACTATCAATAATACTAATTAAATAAAACAGGACATTATTAGATAAAACTAGCGACTCACCCTCGCTTTGTTTCGGGTTCGTCCCTAGACAAAAACAAATTTATCCCACGGGAACCATACATTTTTTCGAGATAAAAAGTTACCTAATACAAAACATAACAATAAAAAAGTAACTAGTGCTTTTCCAGACTATAATCTATCTGTGTGTTAAATTTCATCTAGATCCGTTTAGCCATCCTGACGTGAAAGAGTACCAACATCCATCCATCCTCACAAACTTTCACAAAATATTATTAAATTATAAACTCCAACCATTTTTTTTATACAATGAACTTATAAGTACAAAAATAATTATTTTTCAGGTCGAGATCGATGCAAAAGTCATAGAAGTGTCAAAGAAACACCTTCCATTCATGGCAGTGGGTTTTGAAAGCAAAAAACTCACTCTACACGTCGGGGACGGTTTCGAGTTTATGAAAAATCACAGTCACGAGTTTGACGTCATCATAACCGATAGTAGCGACCCAATCGGTCCAGCAGTTAGCTTATTTCAAGAAAATTACTTTGCATTGATGAAAAGTGCTTTAAAACCCGGCGGTATTGTGTGTTCCCAAGCGGGGACATTCTGGGATAGTATGGATTTAGTTAGGAATACACTACGTTTCTGCAAAAATCAATTTCCAGTGGCCGCTTACGCCACTACCTCAGTTCCTACTTATCCGTGCGGACAAATAGGATTTGCTTTAGGCTCTCTGGACCCAAATACGCAACTGGATAAACCACTCAAAGTTTTCTCTAAAGAAGAAATTAACAATATGAACCTCAGGTACTACAACAGTGACGTGCACAAAGCCGCGTTCTCACTGCCCTCCTTCGTGAAACAAGAAATTGAGTCTTAATTGTTTACACTGTACTTATAAATGCATTTATTTTACTTTTTCTTTGACAGTTTGTTGTAAACGCTACGATTTTAGTACTGAGTTTTAATGATATTTGAAAACGTATATGATATCACTAACTGATATATGTGATGTGATATGATATGATATACTACTGATATATATGGTGTGGAAGAATTACGTTAGGTATTCTTTTATACTAGATAATTTGCGATTATATTTCCCTAGTGGCTGTTTTCGGAACTAATGTGGGGGAAATAGTTATTAATTAAAAAAAAAGGCCATCACGGGTCGCCCGCCCGATATGAAACATCTATGTTAATATTAATATTCATAATTAATAAAAACTTCTGACGAAATATGGAGTACAATAAAGAAAAAAAAAGTTTGTTAATAAAATCAAATTATTTTTCTGATAATAATTACAGAATATACGTATATAATTTATAAATAGAATCGAAAATATCTAAGTATTTTTAATAGAGGCGCGCGCACGCGCGCACTTAGGAGTCGAGAGCGTTTGCCGTCACGTCATACGAGTCGGTTTTACAGCAAAGGCGCGCCAATAGATGTTTCACATTAAAATCAGTTGTTTACAATAAAGTGAAAAACATTGTACGTCATGATTCTTCCATCGGTTCGGAAAAAAGCCTAAGTTCCTGTGAAGAATTGGTAAAAGAACCTCAGTGGGCCACTAACTCTGGTTAAGTTTGGAAATTAGATACGTAACTTATAGGTACAAAAGCTATTGAGAGAACCACCACTAGGGAATTCTTGCACATTCTATAATGTTATTAAAACTACACGATTTAGATGTAAATGTTTAATATTACCAGACTGAAGTATAGTTAATACATTTCGTTACATAATGCATTCCATACATACATATATATTTGAAAGTCTAGTCTATTGGACGTCGATGTCAACGCATGCTGAAAATAGTGTAAGTACGTAATATTGTGATAATGAATCGAAATATATATTTTTGTATAATATTGTTACATTTTTTTTTATTAAATGTTAAATCTGGGACAATAAATTTTATTTTTCTTATAATTTGTCTTTTATTTACAACTGTATGGCAAACTTTTTATTTTGTGTTAGTTTATTGATTAAAATAAATTATAGGTATAGAGTATGTATGTGTGTATATTATAGTTTTTACATACAACTTCTATTTGGCTAATACATATTACTATGATTGCTTTTGTTATTATATTTCGAAAGGCGCTAGGTGTTAATAAAAAATAATTGAAAAATATTTCAATCGGATTTTTCCTTAGTATACACATAATTACCCATCTGGACACCAAATTTCAGCTTTCTAGGTCATCTGGAGGAGGCTTAGGTTTTACTACTATATGCCGATTTTTAGACGTTAATATCTCAATAACCGTTTGAGCAATAGTTTATGAAATTGAGGGTTCAAGTTAATCTGAGGGGACTTAATAATTGAATCAAATTTCATGTGCTTATATTAAATAGATTTTGAAATATTAAGAGATCAAAAGTAGCTCCCAATGGTTCGTGTAAAATAACACTCGGTGCTGCGTCGCCAGTTCCTTTGGCTTGATCGAACTTGGCAGGATAGTGGATACGCTACCGCGTGTCTTGATATAAGTATTACAATATAGTATAGTACCTAATAATAATAAAATATAAACAACTATATAAAAAAATATAGAGAGAAATATAAATTTTGTTAACATTTATATTATACCTACACTCAAAAATAAAACTAGATAATTTGCTCTTTTTATTTATTAATCATCTATATTATGTATAAAGCGAGGGTAAGTCGATAATGTTACTTAAAAAGCTACAGGCTCTCTCTAAGGTGTTGCTTTACTTATTCTGTGTGGAGTGAAACAACTTAATTCTGTTTCGTTTGTTTAAGCTTAACATAAAAAATGTTAGATAGTTCAGATATCGAATTGAGGTCGGCGTTGCCGAAAAAAACATCTAAGAAGCTCTTAGAGAGCCCAACAACCGAAATGTTAAAGCAAAAAGATCCTAAAAAGATAACGACGAAAGAAATGATTCATAAGGCATTAATAGATTTAAAAAGTCGCAAAGGAACGTCTTTACACGCCATTAAAAAGTATATAGAAGAAAAATACCAAGTGGATGTGGAAAAAATCAATCATATTATCAAGAAATATTTGAAAACTAGTGTCGAAATGGGAACGATAGTTCAAACTAAGGGAGTTGGTGCAAATGGATCGTTTAAATTGGCTGCTGGGAAAGATAAATTGGAAAAGAAAAAGAAAATGCTGAAGAAAGATGAACGAGCGAAGATATCTGATAAATCAGAGAAGCCAAAACTACAAAAAACTGCAAAACTTAAAACTACGAAGGAAATGGAGACTGAAAAAAATGGGCAGAAGAAGCCAAAAAAGGTTGAAATTAGCAAAAATGCAAAAAATAACGAAGTTGAAAAAAAACCAGCAACGTCCAAAAGAAATCAAAAAAAGGAAATGTCCGGGAAATCATCAAAATCTTTTGAAACACCTAAAAAAAAAAGGGCGGCCATAAAGAAAAGAAAAAGTATTGGTTCTATCTTAAAGCCGCCAAAAATGAAACCGACGGCCAAAGCCTGAAATGTCTAATTTAAAAAAATATGAGAAAGAAATAATTGTAATTTATTAATTTCATAATTGTGCTATAACATTAAAATATTTTATGAATACAACTTGTTTCATTTATTCTTTAATTTTAAGTAGTTAATTGTAATATTGGAAGATTTGTAAGAATCGTAAAGTTAAAAGGATAATATGTAATTGTAAGCGTAATATTGTTTTTTTATAAATGTTTAATAGAAAAAGCACCTTACATTATTTTGATTTTTTTTTAAATACTATATGAATAGATATCTAAACTGTAGGTAGTACGTACTATAAATATTTTTAGATACCCACTGTTCTAGTATAACATGTATTTATTAAGTATTATGCATTCTTTTCTATGCCCAGAATATTCGAAACAAATAAAAATAAATTAGGATTATAATAAATTGCAATTCTCTTGTATTTCTTTAAACTAGCGACTTACCCTCGCTTCGTTCGGGTGCAATCCTAGGGACGTTTTAATTTTTTTGAGCTAGTCTAAGTCTTTTTCTATACGTACATATAATAAAATTTTAACTTAACCGAATCTGTACATTAAATATTGTTTGCAAAATGTTATTGAAATCGACATTTTTAACGATACAGAGGCCTAATCTATAGTTTTTAGAATTTTTGTCTGTCTGTCTGTTACCCCATCACAGGAAAACCACTGGACGGAATTTGATGAAATTTAGTATGGTGATAAATTTATTGATTCTTAATAACTCAGTTAAGTCAGTTTAATTAGTAGGGTTCCCTAGCCAAATGACAAAAACGTCCATTATGTCAGGCTGTCCGTCTGTCACACCCATTTTACTCGGATAGATCTAATAGAAGTGAAAATGTAAATGAAATTATAATTTCACTAGTGAATTTATAATTTCTCGGAATATTATCAATCGTCTCCTTTTCTTACAATAGCACGGGGCATTTTTGGGTATATTATAAGTTTCCTAAGCACAATATATAAAATTCTTCTGTATGTGTGTATGTTACTGAACTCCGGCTCCTCACGGCTTTACCGATTTTGATTTTTTTTTGTGTGCGTTTGAGAGGCTCCCTGGATGGTTTAGATTCACAATTGAACCCAGTAGGTGGCGCTGCAGTACTAAATTCTAAGATTTGTCGACAGACTTTGTACTGTCCGAACATATAAGTACGTACGTATGAATGTTACTGAACTCCTAAATGGCTAGACCAATATGGATGATTTTTGTGTTTGTCTCAAATTAACTATGCCACATTTCGAACAGGACGTCTGCCTGAAGTTTGTGTTTAAACGTGCTAAACTCTTTAACTTCCAGCCCGATTCGATTATTTTATTTTATAGCCTATTATTATTTATTAAGGCTACAAGCTATCTAACATTGCGCTATAACTCTTATAGAGGAAGAGCGTGTGAACGCCAGACCTTCGTCATTTTATAAAGGCTGAAAGTTTGTCAGCGCATGCTCCCAACACAGATAAGAACAATGGACCATTATGAAGTTCAGGCTATGGTGGCTTTGGCAGGTACACGGTACTAAAGGTGTGTAAAATACCGATCTAAATTCGTCAAATAATTAAGTGTGATTTTTTGGTATTACCTTCAGAATATTATTAAAAATCACGTCATTCAATGCCAGACACTTAACATCGTGGCAAACCCTTGCCAGACACCCTTTTCATGAAATCATAATTCTACTTACGTTATAGTATAAAAGCTGATTTTTATATATAATACTTGGGTAATAATTAGATGATTTATAAGACTGCTAGCATAGCATTTATTACACACCATGAGAAATGTTCCAAAGAAGTTGGGAGGCATTTCTAAGAAAATGTTGCAAATGGTCACCAAATTTGAAGCGCTAAGAATTGACTTTATTTTTGCTGGTGTGTAATAAATCCCGGGTCTCGCACCTCTGATATTTTCATGTGCGAATCATTACCAACATGATTACCACATGTCTTACGGTGAAGGAAAACATCGTAAGGAAACCTACATGACTGGGAAAACCTAGCAAGTTTTCGAAAGATATAGGACATATATCGTACAGATTAAATAATAACTTTTTATGAGTTAATTAACTAAATAAAACTAGCAAAGCTTTATAAAATAGATTTATTCACTTTCATGTTCCTCACGGATCTTATTCTTTCTCTTAGTGCCTTCCTTCTCAGCGCCAATGAGTGCACTAAATATAGCGCCCGTTTTCACTTTCTTTAATATCTTTTTATCATGAAAAGGATGATTGTGTGCTGAAATCCTAAAAAAGTTACAATTTGTTATTAATATTAAACATGCGCGATTTATACAGTTAATAAAGTAATAAGTGAATAGTTTACTTTGTATTGAATTGATATTTTAAGAAGTCGGTTAAAAAAGGAATAAAAAGTCAAAATTACGTTAAATCATTCTATTGATTGTGCATTATTTGTAAAAAATCAGACAGGTGCCAGTTTTACACGCACTCCGATGGCTCCGTAGTATGATTATCACGAAAATAAGTGTATAATAACACAACATACACGACGGTACCTATATTATTCTTTAGTCTGAGGCTTTGCTTATAATAATAATGTATATTAGTTTCAAATCTAAAGACAGAAGAAAATAGGATTATGGGAGAAATGAAATAATACTTTTTTAGATATACGCGAATATTTTAAATAATACTATATTTTCGGATTATGTCGCGATTTTCATTTTAATTTTTCATTCCCGATGTTTCGAATTACTTCATTACTTATTCACCGGGTAACTAAGGTTATAGACCTCCCAACACTCATAATACCGACGATGTCTGCCCACAAAAATGAAACAATTTGAAAATAAACCGTAAATCTTTCAAAACAATAAATGAATATAAAACATTTATTTGTATTCAGACCTTTTTAACGTCCCACTGCTGGGAGTGGACCTCCCTTCAATACGAGGGGGATCAGGCCATAGTCCACCACGCTGGCCAAGTGCGGGTAGGCGGACAAAAAGCAACATATATTTAAAAATATTTAAATAGTGTAATTACCATACCTTTGTACAACGACATCGTCTTTGGTAACGACATACGCGGGACACTTGTAGTTATTGATGTAGTCGACACAGCGCCATTGCCGCGACTTGTCTCTATTTGTGTATTTCAAGTAATATATAAACCTGTTCAGTATCATCTGTAGCGAGCCCTGGTTCGACACTGTGTACTGGAGTGTACCAAGACCTGATGGGACATACATATCACATAATACATCTAATATCTATACATATAAATAAATTGAAGTGTCTATTTATAATGTCAAAATAACAGCTTTTTACTAATACTTTCTTAGATTTACGCGAATGTTTGACATTTTTAAATAAAACTATCTTTTCGAATTATTTCGCTGATTTATATTGATTTTTGGTTCCCGACGTTTCGAATGCTTTACAGCGTCCATGGTCACGGGAGAGACTGAGGTGTTACATGTCTTGAAGGTATAGTTGTTTTTTGTAATTAATATTTTTAAAATTGTAATAATTATAAAAATAATAGCAAAAATTAAATAAATAATATTTCATATTTAATTATAATTAAAATTATAAAAATGTTTAAAGTTAAAAATTATTGTAATGTAATTGGAGCAATTTTCATTTTGTTAATTGTGGGTAGGCTGTCTGTAACAACTATACCTTCAAGACATGTAACACCTCAGTCTCTCCCGTGACCATGGATGCTGTAAAGCATTCGAAACGTCGGGAACCAAAAATCAAAATTAATCCGCGAAATAATCCGAAAAGATAGTTTTATTTAAAAATTAGCTTTTTACTAAATACATATGGAAGTTTATACGGTACTTATAAGAAAAAAACATTTTTTGAATATTTTTTTGTCTGTCTGTTTGTTCCGGGGCTAATCTCCGGTTGGACTGATTTTGACGGGACTTTCATGACTACTGATTGTGAGACAGGTATATTTAAGCATGGGTATAGGGTATATACGCACAAATGCTCTGTCTATACGTCGACAATTTGACACAACGGCATTACGTGTTCTAATAAGCACATAGGTAAACTCCTCACAGCAACCCAACTTCAAGCGGTACTGACATTTTTTTTACAGAAGACCCCAATAAAAGCTTGGCTAGACCTAAGACTCGAACCCACGACCTCCGGATCTTTAACCGTGTAAGTTACTACTCCACCGAGACAGTAGTCTGAAGGATAACATATGTACTATATAAACACACTTGCTTGTTCTTCAGCGCTGGATGTCACAAGCTTTTGTAGATGCGGAGGCAACATGTCGGGGGTGATTTCTGTTCTATCTTCAATTTCTATATCAGGCTCCTTATAAAGCTCTTCCGTTGAATCATTTATACTTCGCACATCATTTATTAATACATTACAGCTGAAATAAAAAAAATGTGTGATTGTGTTTTTATAATTTTTTCCAAACGTGCCAAAAGACGTATAACATCAAAAAGTAGTATTGTCTGTTGGTTATAATGTACATAAAGAGACTAAATCGTTTTTAAATAACATTTTCAATAATACATTTTAATCATTTTTTTGGAATCAGTTCAGTAGTTCCAGATATGTAGGGACATACAAACAAAGTTTACTTCTTTATTATATTAGTATAGATTATCTTCTAAGCTATAAATAAATAAATATGTTGGGACATTGACACACAGCACCATTTAGGTCCATGGTAAGCTATGAGACTTGTGTTATGGATACCAGATAGTTGATACACTACACATATATAACTTTAAATACAATATACATATTATAAATATAAACACCCATAACTGGAGTACAAGCATTCATGCTCATCACTCAAATGTATGCCCCCAGCGGGATTCGAACCCGCTACCGCTGGCACAGCAAGTAGGGTCACTAGTAGTGTTTGTTGTGTGTGTGACGCCACGTTTGGCTCAGTTTGTAGTGACTCACTACAAACTGAGCCAAACGTGGCGTCAAATCGTCTATATAACCAAATTCCATAAAGTAAGACAAAATCTTATCTGTACTAAGTATATGGCAGGTGAAATAATTTATTCTTATATTAATTAATATTATGTAGTTAAAAGAATTACCTAAATGCTACTTAGTCTAATAAATATATTTTTAAATGTAAAAACAAGTATATTTGCTAAAATAATAGCATCACAGACTTTTTAAGGAACTATATATAAATATTTGCCGTAAATTGTTTTCACTTTTAAATTAAACTAGGGGTTCGCCTCACTTCTCTCGGGTTCGTTCCTACATATGTTTTGTTTGTATGGAATAGGTCGACTATATAATATACATTATATTACTGCTCCCTTGAGCATGATGTTAAATAGTCTATAGACTTCCTCAGTAAAGGGGCTATCTAATGAAAAAAGAATTTTTCAAATCCGATTAGTAGTTTCATGTTTGACGAAGAGATTACATTTTTTTAAATAAATATGTTGTTTTATGAATGCCAAAGTAATCATAAACTATATTTTATTCATTTTCTTACCTTTTTTGTTCTATTTTGCTAATGTCGTCAGATGGGTTTGATATTTCAAAATAACATATATCATCTTCAGGATCAAGGCCCCCCATTTGCGTGGAAAATACTTCAGGTGATTTTTGTCTTTCACTTGTTAAAGCTTGGGATAAATTCTGAAAATTAAATCAAGTGTAAATCAGACTGTCACACAGTGTTCCATATTTTCTAATTACTAATAAGTAATGTATACAGATAAATAAAATTGAAGTGTCTGTTTGTAATGTCAACTAGTTACAGCTTTTTACTAAATGCATATGAAAGTATATGCAGTACATATAAGAAAAACACAATTTTAACATTTTTTGTCTGTCTGTTTGTTCCAGCTAATAGCGGATATTATAAGGAGTAAATTAGGCTACTTTTATTTTAGAGTAAGGTTTGTTTGTACTTTGTATTAAATGAATCTTCTAGATCAGGCCATTACTCATGTATCTATTTTTTGTTATTTTACTTTAGATTTAGTGCTCTAATTACCCCATACATGATATTTGTATGTATTACTATTTTTATTTGAAATTACAAAAAAAAAACGTAAAGAACCTTACTGTTATATTTTTATTTAGCTATGTTTAAGCTAGTGTGGGTGGGTATCTAGAAAATTGACACATATTCTGTAAAAAGGTCAAAAGATAGAAGACACTGTAGTTATAGTAAATAGAATTCCATCTCAACCCTTCACAACAGAACCTTAAAATAAAGGGACTTAACAGACAGACAGAAGGTAATGAGGTAATGAAGTGATCGTACAAGTGTTCCTTATATTTTTTTAAGGTACAGAATCCTGAAAAGTGAAAATAACAGAATGTTAAGCAAATATATTATTATAACTTAAAATCATTTTTCATACATTAAACATACCATTTCCTGTAAACCTTTTATGTGTAAATCCTTGGCTGCATCAATCAATTCATTAAGATCTTCTATGGCCACTAATACCTCACCAGTATAAATGTACTCTAATATTGCAGCAAGCGTGTTGTGGGATATTTTCTGAAACATCATAAATATGTAATCAAATATTTATTATAAAATAAACTTTCTAAAATTTGAAAAATATTTATACTTTATATGTTACTTACATTTAAAATTATAACAGGATGTGGACATTGTGCTGAAGATATAAGGTCTTTTAAAAATGGGCTACTCAATGCAATAATAACTTGATGTACTTTTACAAGGTACCCATCAGCTGCTAAAGTCATGTCTACAAATTCGCCATTCTATGGTAAAAAGATGTAAACAGTATGCATAACAAAATATAATTTAGAGTAAATGCCTAATATTAATATATAAAATGTTGTTAAACTTTGTTATAATCCTTTTAAATAAATTGCAAGGAATGTAGAATTAAGATTTAGATTCTTAATTAGTTCAGTATTATTGAAAGAGAGCATTAAAGGAAATATATCTGCAAGTACTTGAATAACTACACATTTACCTGTTGCAATAAACTAAGTCCACTGCATATATTTTGTACATGCTCATCCCAAGATAAGGAAAATTGAGATTGGGCCATAATTAGGTATATTAATTTTTAAAAGCTATATTTTAATTAAAAAAAATGTTTATACTGAGATTCGTGACGTTTGACCACAGATTAAACAAGTACGTTTGACAACTAGATGTCAAATGTCAATGTTAAATATAATGACAGCAGAACTGATTGAGTTAAGATGGCTTCACACTTATACATTTTGTAAGTTTGCATTAAACAATTAGCATCGATTTGCTGCTACCATCAATCACCTCAACTTATGGTTATATTTGAATTGAGAAGAAAAGACAATAAATATTTTAAACTTATCGTTTTCTAGTCACTGATTGAAAATACGTTGTGACGCGTGACCAATATACAAAATATATATAGTGAGGACTGTCGTTTTTAAGTGCTCTTTGAGGCATTACTCATGAAGGTGTGACACTAACTTCTCAACTAAGGACTGTTACTGATGACTTTCATAACATAAAGACTGAATGACTAAAATTGACTGGAACCCAGAACCTCGGTATCTGACCACCAAGGCAGTTGAATATTTATTTTATTAAAACATAACTTATTATAATATTACGGGTAACAAAACTCTTTTACAGTTCCACGCGGGTAGTCACAGCGGACGCGCGTGTCTCACCTCGCTCGATTCGTTGTCGTGTTTTAATTTACGCGTAAAGTGACTATACTTGCCTAGATAGTGGAAAACCTTATACAGGGTTTTTTCCTGGCAACAGGAAATTATCCCTTGCATAAAAATGTATTCAGTCCCAAAGTCTTCTAACCCCACAATGTCTCAATTACCTACAACGTCAGAAACAACACCTAATACTGCAAGTTACGCTAATGTAACATCGTCAACATGTTTCCCCAAGAAAGACCAAGCCATAATACTGGATTCCATCGATGGGATAGCACTCAGGGAGTACCTCATAGCTTTATCTTCCCTCATACCTGCTACATCTATCAGATTCATATCTCGGATATCGAATGCACGTATCTGTATATATTTAGATTCAAAAAGAACAGCTGACAATTTAGTAGAAGAAAAGAAAAAGGTTATTATACAAAAATATATTCTTGAGATTAAACCGCTCATTACAAGAAATAAGAGAATAGTTTTATCTAATGTCTGTCCCGTAATACCTAACTATGTAATTGAACAAAAATTTAAGGATCTAAATATTAATGTAATGTCACCTATAACGTTCATGAAAGTAGGAATAGCTGATCCTGGTTTTTCCCATATATTAAGCTTCAGAAGACAATTATATATAAACCCAGATGATGAAGTGCGACTCCCGGAATCATTTCAACTATCTTTTGAAGGGACAAATTACTGGATTTATATATCCACTGATGCTTTAAAATGTTTTGTATGTAACACAATGGGTCATTTAGCCAAAAATTGTTCACAATATTTAGAAAAATCCCAAATACCGGAGAATCAGGCAATGGAAGAAACTAATGACTCAAATAATACAATTGACGATCTTGTAACCAACCAGCCATCTATCCCACTGATAAATGAAAATTTTCTGGAACCATCTCAAATCAATTTAAAAGGGAAAAAACGAATCCATTCACCAACTACCAGTGAATCATCAAAACAAAATTTAATAAGAATTAGTACCACTGAAGATGAAAATCGTATAACGGAATTGGAATCTGATGACACAGGAAGCAATGTTTCTTTAGAAGATATAGAGGGAAAAATTAAATCAAAAAAAAAGTTGAAGAAGGACTCTAGAACTGAAGAAGAAGTTTGGAAAGATATCGAAAATAATATATCAGAATTAAGTGAAGGGATTAGTTTTCCTATTAATTTAGACCAATTTATTAGTTTATTAGATAATTCACGGGGTAAGCAAAATATAAAGGAATTAGCATATTCATATACCGATAATATCATAGATCTCATTAAAATGTGTAATAAGTTGCACTGTAAAATGAACAAAAGTTTAAAGAACAGATGCTCTCGCTTATCTAGAAAATTATATGAAATAGTTAATGTAACCCCTATAACTAATACAAACAAAGTTTAATAAGTACGTTTATATTTTTACTTAATACGATACATAAATAAATTTAATTTTTTCTTATTATTATAAAGATATGGATTTTTTACAGTGGAATATAAATGGATATTTCAAACGTCTCGAAAATATTAAAATTTTAACCAATCTTTTACGACCTACTTGCATTTGTTTCCAAGAGACAAATTTTACCTCGAACTATTGCGCTTCTATGACAGGATATGATTATTTCCATAAAAACCGATTAAACTATAACAGAGCCAGTGGCGGAGTTGCTATATTTATTAAATCATTCACAATGGCTAAAGAATTACAGATAAACTCAAATTTAGAAGCAGTAGCGATACAAATTAAATTTCCCTTAGCTATGACAATATGCAACATTTATCTTCCTAATAGTAACCAAATTAATATTGACGAATTTAATGATTTAATTACTCAATTGCCAACACCTTTTATAGTTTTAGGTGATTTTAACAGTCATCATTTTTATTGGGGCTCTGATAAATGTGACACCAGAGGTAAAATAATAGCTGAATGGCTTGATAATCATGATAATGTACTAGTATTAAACAATGGCCAGCCAACTCACTTTAATAGTAATTCTGGTCACTCAAGCTGTATAGATTTAACTTTGGCTTCACAAGATATATCATCATATTTTGAATGGAATGTTTTAGAAGATCTATACGATAGTGACCATTTTCCAATTTTAATTAAATCTCAAATTTTTCATGACATACCTAGCGATATTAGACTACCAAAAAAATGGAAGTTTGATAAAGCTGACTGGTTACAATTTACCGAAGATATTAATGAAAATATTTCTAGTTTAATAAGTTTAGAGTCTACTTTTGACTGTCCGATTAACAATATTGTTGAAAATTTTACAAAAATGATCCTTGCAGCAGCTAACAAATCAATACCTAAAACATCAGGTACCTTAAAAAAAAAAAAAAAAAAAAAAAAAATACAACCTACCGTGGTGGAATGATGAATGTAAAAATGCAATTAGAGAAACTAAAAAAGCGCTAAAACTATTTAAAAAATTTGCTAGAAACGATCCTAATTCGGTATATAAAATTGAATATAAAAAAAAGAGAGCCTACTACCGAAGGCTCCTCAAAGAGAGTAGAAAGAGGTATTGGGAAAATTGGGTTTCGTCAATTAATAATAGAACACTTACTGGTGATATGTGGAAAAAGTTACAAATACTTAATCATAATAAAATTAGATTTAACAATATTATAATTCAGAATTCAGACGGCACATTCATATACAATCCATCAGAAACTTCTCACCTACTAGCAACATCCTTCGCAACTAATTCTAGCTCAAGTAATTATGATGATCAATTTATTGGGTATAAAAGAAGTCATGAGTCGGCATCTAATTTTGATGTTTTAGATAACTGTAATTCGATTAATAAGGACATCCAAATGCATGAATTGTTACTAGTCTTGTCTCAACTAGGTAATTCTAGCCCAGGTCCAGACAACATTCCAAATACAATAATTAAAAACTTACCAATCTCTGGACTAGAATACTTACTTCAATTGTACAATTACATTTGGAAGAAACAGGTGTTCCCAGATGCATGGAAAGAAGCGTTAGTAGTTCCCATTTTAAAACCCGGAAAAATATCAAGTTTGACAACAAGTTATAGACCAATCTCTCTAACATGTAACCTTTGTAAAATACTCGAAAAAATTATTAGCAAAAGAATTAGGTGGTATATAGAATCAAATAAACATCTTTCGCCATTTCAATACGGTTTTCGTCAGTTCCGTTCAACAACAGACCACTTAATGAATATCGAAAGTGAAGTACTTGATAGCTTTGCAAATAATAATTATTCTGTGATTGTAGCCCTAGACATAGAAAAAGCTTATGAAATGGTTTGGAAACACAGAGTTCTTCAACTACTACAAGACATTAATATAAAAGGAAACATTCTAGCATTTGTAAGAAACTTTCTTTCAGATAGATCAATTAAAGTTAGAATCAATGAAACTTTATCTGACCCTGTTTCTATAGAAAACGGTCTTCCTCAAGGCTCTGTGCTTAGTGTAATCCTTTTTTTACTTGCAATTAATGATGTTCTTTCATATATTAAAAAACCGGTAAAGGGATTTCTATTTGCCGATGATTTAACAGTAATTTGCAGTGGTAGAACATTAAAACCTACATTAAATCTAATTCAAAATACACTTAATAGTCTCCAAGAATGGTCTAAAAAATCAGGATTTAAGTTTTCAAAGACTAAAACAGAATATATCGTATTAAATAATAAGAAAAGTAAAACTAATAACGCACATTTAATACTAAATGACCATATTATAAAAGAAGTAAATAATTTGAAAATTTTAGGTTTAACATTTGATAAAAAAATGTCTTGGATTGCTCATATTAATAAACTTAAGTCAGAATGTTATAAAAGATTAAACATAATAAAAATATTATCATCAACTACATGGGGATCTGATAGGAAATGTTTAATAAATACGTATCATGCCTTAATTCGACAAAAAATTGATTACGGTTCTATTATTTATGATTCTGCAAAACAACGTACATTAAATTCATTAGAAAGCATTCAAAATACTGCCCTTCGATTATGTATTGGAGCATTTAGGACCAGTCCAATTATGAGTATTTTAGCTGAAGCTGGAGAAACCCCATTAGGAATAAGAAGAAAACAGCTAGTAACTGTATATGCTATAAATATATTATCTCAACCTGATACTTCAACTTATGATTACTATACTAAAACATCGGCCGTAGATGCTGAATATGAATTTCAAAGTAATTTATCAAAACCCTTGCGTATTAGAGCAGCCAAATATTTAAATGAATTAAACATTACAGTGCCACATATACTTACAAAAAAATCACTAGTATGTGCTCCCTGGAAAACTTACGAATTTCCTATTAATCTTGAGCTAGCCAAGTACCATAAAGACGATACCTCTCCGTTCACATATAAAACCTTATTTAATGAAATGCATAATGAATATAAAGATCACATTTTTTTTTATACTGATGGATCAGTTTTGAATGGAAGGTCAGGGTGTTCAGTGGTAACTGGAAATTTATCTTACCGGTATAGACTTTGGAATTATTCTTCGATTTTTAGTTGTGAAGCAACAGCTATCCTCAGAGCTTTAGATTTAATACATACGGAATCTAATCTAATGAAATATATAATTTATTCAGATTCTAAATCATGCCTAACAGCGTTACAAAATCCAAAAAATATTAATCCTCTTATTATAGAAATTAAACAAAAAATGATTAATCTCTTAGAAAATGGTTACAAATTTGAAATTATATGGATTCCAAGTCATCAAGGTATTGCTGGTAATGAAAAAGCTGATAGTGAAGCTAGAAATGCCACTAATGAAAATGATATTTCTAATATAATTAAACCAACCCACAGTGATTTTCATAAACATATAAAGTATACAATTAAAATTTACTGGGACACATTTTGGAAGACAGGAAACACATCAAAATTATTTGATGTTAGGAATTCAATTTTTGATAAATCACCTCTGTTATTTAACTGTAGAAAAGATCAAGTAGTTATCACGAGATTGCGTATTGGTCATACCAATATGACACATATTCATTTAATAACTAAGGCTGACAGAAACAAATGCAAGTGTGGTCTAGATTTGACTGTATACCATATTTTGATAGAATGTCCAGCATATAATAATGAGAAACGGTTATGTAATGTACCAAATAATTTAAAGGATTGTTTAAATCAAGATGGTTGTACGAGAATTCTTAAATTTTTGAAAATGATAAACATGTACCAATTGATATAAATTATTGTATGTAACTTAGGTCCAATGTGGTCGCTAATGACCTTAGATGTTAAAAAGCGACCTAAAATAAATAAATAAAAAAAAAAAAAAAAACTCTTTTACTCAAGTTGTAAAATTTTAAAATTCTTTGTGTATCAAATAATCAACTAATTAGGGGGTACGCAATTTAAATGTTGGACCTGGTAGCATGGTAGTGCCCCCGCCAAGTCGAGCAAAAAAGGGCACGGCATCGTTTTTTTACGTTAAGGCTTAAATCAGTTTCCACTTTTCAATCCAATAAGGAAACAGAAATAACAATTAAATCCATAGTAGCACCTAACGTTACGCAACCCTAATGTATAGCGATCATCGAGTTCGCACCGCAAATTTCGTGTTGCGACATCCGATAGCATATTTTATGTAAGACTTTTATTATGTCATTTACTGATGAAACTTCGATCGTGGTTCATCACCTTTAGGATAATTAAATTGTAAAAGTATCAGAAGTAAGATTTATTATAATAAAATATTTTATAAAAAAAAAAAACATTTCTTTTGCATCCTCTGGTTGTGACTTCTATAATTCACTAGTCATTATTTTTTAAATCATCTGTATATTTTTTTTCGGAATTTAAAAGTAAATAAGAGGGTATTATATAACGATATTAATAGAAATACAGCAAAAATATTTTTAAGTAGAGGCTAATGATTTCTTCGTTCGATTATGTTTTGAGTTCATCTCCTTTTTTGTTCTTGCAAATTCTTCTGCAGATTTCGTAGTACAGAATATTTCACCCGTTGACACTTTCTTTGCAATTTTTATCTCATGGGTTGGATGTGCATGATTGCTATGTCTAGAAAATGGGGATAATATTAAAATGTGTGCATAAAATATTTTAAATATTAAATACTTGATTCCTCATACGAACTTTCATCCCCATTTTCACTCCTTTATAGGATGATTTTCCGGGATAAAATGTATCCAATGGCCCTCCCAGGGTCTCAAACTATCTTCTTACCAAATTTCATCCAAATCTGTTCAGTAGATCCAGAGATTACCCCCTACAACCTCACAAACTTTACCTCTTCATAATATATGTATTGATAAAAAAAAACAAGTTTCTATAGAAACGTGTTAGAAGTGAAACTCCATTGGTTATTCATACTTCAAATCTGTAAGACTAAGATTGATAATCTATAAAAACTTTTAATATTACATTCAGACAAAAATATGATTTAAATGAATATCACACAAAGAGGAGAGATAATATTTTCTCTTTCTCGAGGGTGACCCGCAAGTTATAAATAAATATTTTGTATATTTTAAAATAAATTAGTAAAAAAATATAATCTTTGAAGACAGCAACAGAAAGAATATCATATATTATTATATTATTTTTCAGACAATAACAACGGTTACTATGGCATCCATGACGGTTTTTCGTTACGCGTCCTTAAAAATTTTCTATAAAAACATTGTACACTAAATAAAATGATAATAAAAATACATTTTCTAAAAATAAATATAATAGGTACCTATTTTTATTATTTTCATATAATATATCATTACCATATTAATTTACCTTTGAATAACTCTATCATTTTTAGTGATTACGTAAGCTTGGCATTTAGTATTAACATAGTTGACACATTTCCATTGCGAATGACCAGATGCACTTGTGCTGTTATATTTTAAAAAGTAAATAAACCCATTGAGAACTAATTGCAGAGAGCCTTGGTTAGATATTGTAAAGAAAGGTACTGGAAATTCTGGAATTATATTTAATTAAAAAAATATTAGTTTTAATTAATAATTAAATAAAAATATAATAATTATTAAATAGTTTATCTAAACAGATAAATAAAATTGAAGTGTCTCTTTGTAATGTCAAGCTTTTTAAGTTTTTACAATTATGAAAGAATACCTAAAAGCAACAAAATAGTAGAATTGAATTGAATGAAAGTATACACAGTACTTAAACAAAACTTTCTGTCTGTTTGTACAGGCTAATCTCCAAAATGGCTGGATACTTTCACTGGTAGATAGCTGATGTTATAAGGAGTAACTTAGGTTACTTTTATTTAAGAAAAATGATTAGGATTCTGCACAAAAAATTAAAACCCATGAAATTGTGAACAAAATTGGCATATCTAGGAACCCGAGCGAAGCGAGGTTAAGTTGCTAGTTTATGAATAAAATATGTGATAATCTTTATAATATATAAAATATACCTAAAATATATTATTCAAGAATAACTTTCACATAATACTGACCACTAGTATCTTGATTTAGTGTAGAATTCTTTATTATACAAGAAAAGTTTCCTGTTTGAAGTTCGGAGTTAGTTTGTTCATTGAGTTCAACTTGGGCATTTTGGCCTTCTTCCATCACAAAGTCTTGGTTAATATATTCACTATTACTTTGTGCATTATCAATTATGAATAGCCTTAAATATTAAAAAAAAATGAGTGTGTGTAGACTTTACATGTGGTTGAAATAAATCTTCTTTATCACTGTGGCAGATACCACAAATGAATTAAAATCTAATTAAAAATAAATATAATATTTTTTATAAAATGATTAGTAATAAATATTCATTTTTATAAGAAGTAATTATTATGAAATTATTAATAATAAATATACAATTTGATTTTATAAAGAAAAATTATTATTATAAAAATAATAAATATTCCATCAATATTTAAAAGCCATAAATACAATATATACTTAAAGATTGATTACATAAGAATTTAAGTAAATATTAGTATCAAACTGGCTTAAAATACTTAAAACACAAGCAAATATTATTATTATTATTTTACTGCTCTTGGGAATCCTCTTTTACTTCTTGTTTTGTTTGCACATTTTCAGTTTTTGTGTCTGTACTTGTAGCAGTTGTTGCCATAATTTGATTTGTTGATGAATTTAAAGCCACTGTGTGTGGATTCTGTGATATCAATGGAAAAGTATACATGAAATATTTTGAATAATATTTTGTAATATGTTTACTGTCCATTTTTAATTATGTTTGAATAAATGTGAGTACCATTTCTTGTAGTCCTTTAATTTGCAATACTTTGCCAGCTTGTATTAGATCTTCAAGTTGTTCTTTTGAAACTTGCACTTCTCCTTTGTATACATAGTCTAAGATTGAACATAAGGTTTTATATGATATATTCTGGAAACAAAATATATTAAACATTTCTGCACAGGTTTTATCTTAGCTCTTAGAAAGCAATTTTAAAAATTGATTAAAATCTAGGGATTAATTATATCCCCCCAACGTGCGTTCACCTTGTCGTGGTGGGGGGGGCTCAGTAGTGTCCGGCAGTTCCGTCGGGCGCGATGCCAAGAAACGCACAGGGAGGTGGCCCACTTCGGTAGGCGGTGTACCATGGGGGTTGCTCCTGGTACTTTTCTGATAGCAGAGTGGACCTTGGAGCAACCCCATGGTTGTTGTGGTCTGCTTCGGCAGACCTGCCGTCGGGGCGTCGTAGTCGAATGCGTAAGCGATCCTGCGACGTCCCATTAAGACGAGGGAAGATTTTGTAGGGTTTTAGTGGGTAGTACTAGCTTTGCCTATGAATCGCACAGCTCGTGCGTAAATGCAGTTCCCAACGTTAAAAAAAAAGAGATTATTTATATAACTTACCGTTAAAAATATAACTGGATGTGAACATTTTAAAGAAGTAATGATATCCTTGATATAAGGACTAACCAGTGATAAAATCATCTGATGAGCCTTCACAAAATAGCCATCAGCTGCTAAAGTGAGATCAACGAATTCACCACTCTAAAATATAATTTTAAACAAGATAATGAATCGGAATAAAGAATATTTCTTTTTATATTAAGGATTTACACAAAAAATCTTTTTATTTTAGCATTACAAACTATATTACAGCTGTTGTAAATAAACAATATAGAAAAATCTTAAGTCTTAGATACTTACTTGTTGAAATTTACTCAAACCGAAACTAATATTATGCATGTGTTGTTCCCATGATAAAGAAAACTGTGTTTCTAGCATAATGAAATAAAAGATCTAATTTTCTAAGCTAGATTTACTATATTACCTATTCGATAAAAATATCTTAATTCTTAAAATCGAAACAATAACACTGACACTTGACAGTGACTCATGACTGTTCAGTGTTCACTTTATATAATATGTAGCATTATACTCTATGACTTGTGAGTTGTGACTTTTATTTGTCATCCATGGTTGTGACATCCGTGATCCAAAACCTAAATCGGACGATTTATCACAATCATGAACGAATTGTCTCTAATTCGTTCATGATCACAATAATGTGATAGGTATATCGTCCTAGTCCGAAACCATAAGCTTTTACATACTTCTCAGTTCTCTATGGCATAAAAAACATGAATAATAAAGTTTGACTCTGCCCTAAGAAAGGTGAGAATGAAAAAGCTCGAAAATTAAATAAAAGAGATAATTTAACATTATTATTTATACTAGTTTTATATAGAATGCTTTTAAACTATAAAACTCTAAAAAAATATTAACTTGAGAGCAAAGAATAGTAAGATGCCGCAGAAGGCAGAACAGGTTAATATTAGACTTGCAACGAACATTCGGCTCTTGTTCGGTATTCGGTCTAGTCGGCTACTTTTGTTCGTATTCGGCCGAATACCGAATAAGTACTTAATTAAGTAATATGTATTGTTGTTATCAGATAATTGGAAAAAGGAAAATATTGGTTTATATGATAATAATATATTTTTCTCATTAAAGAAGTCATAAATACATAATCAAGTTCTATATTACAAAAATTATCCAAAAAATTACGGACAAGTGCGAGTCGGAATCGTCCACTGAGGGTTCCGTACTTTGTAGTTTGTAGGAAATCTGTTTGACTTTAATTTTTAACTTTTTTTCCATTATTTGTGCCGTAAGACGTTGCTTTTTGCCAAATTTCGTGATTCTAGGTACGGGAACTACCATATAGGTTTTCGACCCAAAACCTATATGGTACTTCCGGTTGACCTAGTATTGTCAATTTTGGTTTAAAGCAAGGTCTTGCACAGCACAATTAAAGGAAAAATGCGAAAAATAAAAAAAGTCGAAATATAGGTAAATTTTGGTATTGGGCTATCTAAATTTGCCCATATCTTTTTACTGTGTTGAGTCAGGTTCTTGATTTTTATACACCTCATAGGCACTATAGACCTCAAGTTACTCAGTATCTGGTATAAATTTCAACTTGCTAGGTCTACCCGTTCCTGAGAAAATCGGTGGTTACACACGGACAAAAGAGTGATTTTTTAAGGGTTCATTTTTTACCTCTTGAGGTACGGAACCCTAATTATATTATGACATTTACAGAATGTTGCCATGTCAAAAGTATCAATTAAATCTCAGGCTCAACTTTAGCGTGCCAGACTAGACTAGATAAGGGAGGCGCTACAGATAGATAATCGAAAGCACAATAAAAAGGGTTATATACTCTATGAGCCCAATATAAGTTTTTGTGTATATTAAAAATAAGTTTTAATTGAATTCACTTTATTTTCCATCACCTAGTAGATAATCATTTATATTGACGTTATATAAAACTTACTACAAGATCATATTAATTTATTACTAAAATCATCATTAGGTGAAGGATAAATATATAAGACTTAACTATCTTAATTCATTTACAGGGCTTAGTGTATATATTCAATAAATAAAAGCGTTATGTTCAATAATTATTTATTTTACTTAATAGTAACTCCTTTCTGTGTCAATGTATTATCTTCATATGTTTCAAGTACATCTGCCAAATGTTCATTGTCTCTGGGTTTCTTAAATTGTCTTCTTTTCTGAGTAACTTTCTTTCTTTTAGGCACAACAGGTTTTCTTGGTCCATGGTCTTGCATAGATTTAATACCTTGTTTCTCTAAATACTCTTCTATTTTAGCATCATCCATAGCATCAACAGCAGTTGCACGCCATAATTTTACAAATTCTTCATCAACCTGAAGCATGATAATAAATATGTTTATTTTAATATGACAAAACAAGATCAAATAAAAAATTACACTTACATCCAATGTGGCAGTTTTGTCATTATAAAACAAAATTTTCTTTTTATCTGTAGGTCGAGTTATGTATAATATTTCCTGAGCTAAATTTTTCAAAGCTCTCTCACAATGTGGTAAAGATTCTTGGACATCTTCAAGAAATATACCTCCAAGGCCTTTCAAATCATGTTGCTTTAGTAATCTGAAAAATAAAATATTATGATGAATATCATATGTTTTAAGCATTGAAAAAAAAATCTCTTTATAATATATGATATACCTTAGTAATGATTTTTTATCCTTAATTTTATATACAGGCTTAAATATATACTTTCCATCCATTGTGCATTCTATTTTCGGATTATTTTGTAAAGCTTCTGATTGTAACCACTGTAAGTAAATAAGGAATTATGAAATAATTATGTTATAATACACAAACACATAGCAATGCATTTATGTAAAAACCTTTGCTTAATGTTTATAAATTTTATTAAATGAATATATTTAAGTAGGCATGAGTGTTGTTAAATAAAATATGTATTCTTCAACTAATTTTGGTGAAGGCAGTCAATCCCACTGATTGTAAGACTAGCCATTTAAATAGAAGTCATTATAGTGCCCAAATCCATGTGCAAATACAATTCCTTATAATCTAAAAATTGAACTTAAATACATGTATACATAAAAAATAAAAAAAATTATACACTCATGCATCATAGCTGTAATCTTATTCTGTACCTGTTTAATTTTATTTCCCACATCTAACTGATTAGTTTCATCTAAGATTTCATCTAACGTTAATGGATGGTCATCTCCATCTTGATGTCTTGATCTCATGTGTCTAACAATGCGGGCAAGTACTCCAAAACGATAGGATGAACTGCCACCCATAGTTTTATAGCTGGTGAATATCAATATTAACATTATACATTATTTTTATCAAATATAAATATTCTTTATATATAAGCATCAATTAATGTGTTAATGTTTAGTTACAGTAATAAAACTACAAATCAAATATAAACTTACTTAGATCCTTCAAGTTTTGGTGCTGAATTGACCGATGATGAGCTTGATGAGGATTTTGACTTCTTTTTACTGTCATCTTTAAATTGTGATTCATCTTTCTTTTTTTTCTCAACACTGTAAAAATGATTATGATATGATAATTGGTGGTTAAAACAAATGTGTTTCTTATGTATTGATTATATATCAATACAATTTAATATTAATGTATTACTTATATTACTTTTGAAAGATTGCAAGTGATTTAATTAGTAGTAACTACTAATAACCTAATTAGACCTGTCTATTAGATCTGTATAATATTAAACAGTATCATCTACAGTTGGTAATCAACAAAACACTCTTTTCGCAGGTGTAAGAATTAGCATGTAAAAGTTATATTAACATACTGTGCATTTTACTTGTATCAATAATATTGACAGTAATCTGGTTTCTTCAAATAAATGCAAGTGGGAAAGAGAAAGTTTCTAGCCAACTGCAAAAGAAGTGAAGGGGACAGTAGTAGTAGCATTTAATGTGTAAAGTCAACAACATGAAACAAACCTTGGGGTCGCAAGTGCCTTTTTCCTAAAGGCCTCCCGTTCTCGTAACAGTGCTGGATCCATTTTACTAGTGAATTTAACGTTTTTCCTGATAAAAGTAAGTAATAGTTTAACTAAAAAAATATTGTTTTCATCGTTCTGCTTTTTTATTTAGATTTCATAATTCATATTTCATATTATGTCAAATCACTCAAATTACAGTCTACAGACGGAAACTGGAAAGAGAGGTACGTCAATTGTCAAATGTGTTCTCTCTTGTGTCAATGTCAGTTTAATATGGAAAATTATAACCCTGTTTTCCAATTAGAGCACTAAAGCGCATTATGCGACATAATGCTAACTTCGAATGTTTCAACTACAGCAACGCTCCGCACAATCGAGCATCTTAAAAAGTGCTGCTTTGGCGTGATGCGCGCAAGGATATCAAATTAGTAGCAGTAAATACATAAAGTGTTTTTTTTTCAAGGAGGCATTTTACAATAATTTATCGTTAGTAATACTGTTTATTGTTGAACTAATTTGTAAAGCTCGACGTAGTGTGATAAAATATAAAAAACTAATTTATACCTGTTCAAAAATAAAATATATAATTGTATGAAAATTCACGGTTGCATTGATCAACATTTTATTTACATTATCGTTAGTAATATTTGCTTATATTTTATTTATATTATTATATATTTACTAGTTATATTTTTTTCAACACTGAACCTTGTGTCCCCTGCTGGTGCACTTGAAAACTAATTCACGTTCCAATTAAGCATTAGCACACTTCGGCATTGTGCGCCAAAGTGCGGTATTATGCTTTGTAATTGAAAAACAGGGCTACGAATACACTGTCCCTGTTTTTCAATCATCCTAACAATTAAACATGCCTGATTTTTAAGACACAGATGCGACTTTTAGCGGCTTAGAAACGTTTAACAATCTTTTTGACATACTAATTAATTATCTATAAAAAAGAACACTTTCTGGACACGGGTTTAGACTTTAGACTCCCTTTTTAAAAGAATTGAAACAAGATTATTTTTAAATTTCGTTTTCCTTGGTTCTTCTTCAATTCCGTTATTACATTCAGTGTTGATTATTGGTTCTCATGAAAATAACATTGAAGATCAGTTTCAAATCTATGAAATATACAGCTAAAACAAAAATATCGAATCTAAATATTAATATAATTATAATATTTATTTAATTGGATCGACAGGGAAACTAAGAGAAAAAAAAAAAATAAGCAAAGTACATTACTACTATAAAAATATCTAAATTTTATCAATATTACAAGAAAAAAAAATACTTTCTAAATTAGGTCAAAAATAATTGTTTGACTTCATTTTGCATAGTAATGGCCATCTCGATTTGACAACGTATTTGTCATTTGAACATCTTTTATTAAATATAATTATAGTTTTGCTACTACTTACTAGTGAAAAGTGATTTCTGGTCATTTTAATCTTGTATGGCTCCTGCACCACTTCACAAAACATGCTGGCATGATAATTCACAGCTGTAGTTTACAATGATAAAAATTTGAACGTACGCGAAAGTTTGACATAACAAGCTTGCTTGCGAGAATAATGTTCGACTGATGACGCGCTGCGCTGGACACGACTTTTAAGCCCCGCCTACTTGGACACGAATTTTGTTAGGTGTTATTTTTAACGCAGTTACACTTCTTCACTTATTATTTATTCATAGCCAAAATAAATATAAATAAATCAGATTGCTGTGTTGACGAGAGTAGTGATTGCTATATAAAGTTTGTCAGGCTCCGTGCTTTCTTATCTTTAGGGCAGATCTAAAAAAAATTTTAAAAATATTAATCAAATATACAATTTTTTTTCAATTATTTAAAAAGTATACGAAGACGTGAAATTTTCGTCTACGTATAATGATAATCATATTTGAATACAGTAATACTTTTATAAGCATTCACAGTTAATTTTCTAATGGAGTGGCTTCACGTAAGGATGATGGAATATAATAGGCCTATAGGTAATATATCACCAACAGGCCTAGCCGAGTAGTTAAAATTGTTAAACTACATGTAACACTGAGGTTTTGTATCTTTAAAGATTATTATAATTTGGAGGCTGATTCCGGTTTTTTCCTATTTACACAAACAACATTTATTAAATTCAGAACCTGTTAGACCAATGTCTAAAAGTAATGTTTTATAAATTATATTATACTAGTGATTTACCCCCACTTCGCTTGGGTGCGTTCCTAGGTAAGTACATTTTTAATACTTATGTTGGTAGATATGAATACTTATTTCAAGTGAAAAATATTATATTTGAAAAATATAATAATATTAATATCTCTCAAAAATTAAACATGAAAATTAATTTACCGAAGTTTTAAAATAAAATTCATTTTTATTTGGACTTTAAGATTCTTATTAAAAACTTTTATAATGGTAAGGAGGCTCAACTATTCTAATAGACTACTTTAGAAAAGGAAGCCACTATCATATATTTTTATTTCTGTCTAGAAATACTCGGTACCTAACATCCAAATTAAGTTAAGTTGAGAACCTCGAAGAGCACGTAAAGTTGTCGATGCAGGGACCTGTTTTCTCATAGTTCGTGTCGAATTGTTGTATGGCTATGGAGTGACAGGAATCAAGAGTGCAATTGTCGTATATATCTTATTGTTAGTCTCAGTGACATTGGCCGGCGGTCGAAATCGGTCAAGAGGTTGGAGGTCATTATCAGCCTCTGAGTAAAACGACTAGGTACATCTTATATCTTTAAACGAGCAATTCTTGTATATACATATAATCTAAGTCTCGGAAACGGCTCCAACGATTTTTATGAAATTTAGTATACATGGGGATTCGGGGACGATAAATCGATCTAGATTAGTCACATGTCTGGGGAAACGCGTGTTTTCGAATTTTCATGCGACTTCGCGTTATTCCGGCAAAATATGGTCGATACAAAGGTATAATTTATGTTTTTTTTTTTTGTATTTATTCAAGTTTTTTTTTAAAAGAACATTGTACTTTTGACCAAAAACCCCGAGCGAAGCTCGGTGGCCCAGGTACTATTTTATTAACGAACGAAATTATAACGGTTCCGTTTTTTAACTTATTACTTTTTAACTCTAAAAAGAAGCCTTTCGTAGTAGGAGTACGTCGCTTTGTATTAAAATTTATTTAAACTAGTATTCTTTTTGCTGACGAGAATTTATGGTTCGTACGTAGATGTCTGTCTCAGTGTTATTATGTTACAGATGGCCAATTAATAATGTAAAAGGAATAAAATTTAATAAAGTATGTTATTACATAATTTATTGCTAAAATAAATTTAATAAAATAATATATAAAAGGAAAACAATGTCAATGAAGTAAACTAATAATATAAATGTGTTAAGTTAATTAAAGGGGAAGCCTAGCAATATAGAGTTAATATTTCAAGTCTTGCTAACCGTATCTACCTATTTGATAAAATCATTTCCTTCTGAATATTACCGTATTAATTTTACAATTATTTAATCTATAGACATAAATCATGAATGAAATAATCTCAAGATAAATTACATCTAATACATATATAAAATTCCCGTGTCACAGAGTTTTTAACTAAAACTCCTCCGAAACGGTTTGACCAATTCTTATGAAATTTTGTGTGTATTTTCAGTAGGTGTGAGAGTAGGAAGTAAACTATTTTTTATACCCCTAACTGATAAGGGTGGTTCACACCAAAAAAATTTTTTTTGGACAATATTTTTTATATCATTCGGCATTAAAAACACATAAAACCTAAATTTTCACTAGGATCGAACTCGAGCGGAGCGAGGGTGAGTCGCTCATAATATGTATGTTGACGTGACTAGCTGTACTCAAGTTATAATTACGAAGGTATGTTTAACCGCTTCTAAGGTACGTAGGTCGTCAATGATATGAATCATACTTATTAATTTCTATAATGGTATAGAAAATTTGCAAAATATAATAATACTATAGCGAACAAACTTTAATGACTATTTTTTAATGAATATGTATAATCTCCTTTAATCCACTCCATATAAAAAAAAACACTAAAATGGAAAAACAGCTTTTAAAATTATTTTGGAATCGATGTAACTTTTTATATAAAGACTAGCAGAAAACTACAAAATAATGTATGTATGTACTCCGCTCTCTTGTGTAGTAGCATGATAATACATATACCTATAGCCTATAGCTTTTCTCAACAAACGGGCCATCTAATGCAAAAAGAATTTTTCAAATCGGATTAGTAGTTCCTGAGATCACCGCGTTCAAACAAACACTCTGTTTCTTTATTTTATCAATAAGTAATATAAATAATAATATAAAGATTGATATTAAGTATTATGTGTTGTGGTATGTGGTGTGATATGGAAAATTTCTTATCAGATTAAAGTGCATAGAAGTCATTTCATTATGTTCGAAATTCGCCTCTATATATAAAAACAATAATATATAAATAAAGAAAAATTAAAAGCAACTCGTTTTGAGCTCCGAATGCTTTAGGCGGAAAAATATTGCTATATTTATACAAGTCTGTATGTCACCGTGTAGTGTGCCGGCATTCGCGACATTGAGTGGACGCTGGTGTAAGAGGTACGTACCAAACAAGTTTCACATAGGCCGTTTATATAATGTTTTACGATAATAAACTGTAAACATATAGTTATAAAGCGTGTTTTTAAGTGGCCGTTCGTTCGCATTTTTAAATACATTGTTAATGACATTTGTTTATGAGTCAGTGAACTTGACACGATTTGTTTTCAATTAGCAAGTTTTATTTTTATTTATTTTTAAATTTCGTAGGTATGCTATAATAATGTTATCATAAATGTGGAAGTATTTAACGTATTCTTTGTTGCATGGTTGTCTTTATGACATAATTATGAACATAAATTTTGTCAATGACGGATCTACCTACTACCTAACTGGGACACACCACGACTGTAAGAACTAAGAGCTACCGTAATTTCACGGCAATCTTAATCAGCCTAAATAAGGTCAGAGATTCCGCTTAGTTTGTTTTTACAATTTAGAATTTGATAAATAATAATGCCATTTAAAATGACATTTTAAATCTAAAAAAAATATAAGTACCTGGGACTCGCTTGGCGTAAGCACTAGACACTCGTTCAGTAGGTTATCATCCATAATAGGGTACATTTTTGAAGTGAAACTTCTTTAGAATCGTTAATCGGTTTGAAACTCGATAAAACAGAAATGCGACACTAAAAAGAGACAAACATAAATATATAGGATGAAGCCGGCGAGCAGGGCCGGATTCAACCTTAGCGCCACCCCTGGGTATAGTAAAAAATGGCGCCCTGTTGTCGAAATTTTGCATGAAATGGGTAAAGTTTTGATAAAATTTATTTTAATTTACGATTAATTTTTTGAAAAATGCAAAAAATAATTTATAAATCAATCAATTTTTCGAAGAATGTACTAGTTATTTTTTAGCGAAGAGATTTTTTTCCTACCTTCCGAATTTTGCCGCCCATTGTTGTCGCCCTGGGCACTAGCCCTGAATGCCCCTAGTGTAAATCCAGCGCTGCCGGCGAGAGAAAGAGACAGAATACATTGCCATGTTGCCATAGTAACCGTTGTTATTGTCTGACAAATATATAATATTATATATATTCTTTCCGTATATGATATTCTATAAATATATGATAGTAATATGCCTAATATGTCTTATTTAATTATTAGAGATAGAATATACTAGGAATATACACAGGAAGGAAAAATGATAAAATTAATTACTGAATAATATGTAATGTATATTATGTCAAATTAAATGTAAAATAACTTTTAAAATTGGTAAAAATATTATAAAAGAAAGCGATCAATCTGTAACATATTTACTAACATGAAAAATTATATTAATTAGTTATTATAGCCGAGGTTTATTTTTAACCAGCTAGCAGCTAGACCTGAAATAATGTTTTCAAATTTAGCTTAGGTAGGTCTGACTAATTAATGACTTCCGCTGAGGTCTACAGATGAATCCGGATACCTGTGACCCCAGCCTTGTGGCGACAAAGTGGCCTTTCGTCAGGTTTTTAGTGGGTAGGCTGCCGTGCGCTTACCATCTTTGCGCTGCAGGAGCTCCACATAACCCGTTCCGCTTCCCCAGGCGGACGGGTACCAGGGAACAGGGTTTTCCTGACGTTAAAAAAAAACTAATGACTTATATTTTGTACAAATTTTGTACATTGTGTGTAACAAAATATAGTATTCAAGGAATACACTGGAGGATTCGGACCAACCTGCTGCTTTTCGAATAACCAGACCTATGACCAGCTGTAGTCGCGTGTTATTAATGCCATGTAAATTTATGTAATGCCGCTCTCCATCAGAATGTTTTTATCCTCTGAGATAATGTCTATGCTTGCACCTTTAAATGTAAAAACAACTATAAAGTACAGTACAGATATATAATTTTCTATTAGGTGTATATCTGTATTTCATTTTCATTCTACTTAGGTACCTAGGTAGTAGGTACTTTTGCTTTAAATACACTATATTTTGTGCAAATGCCTTTGGTCTCATTGATATTGGCCGTTGCAGAAATCGGTCAGCAAGACATTGTTATCATTGTATTGATTCAATTGATTAAAAAAATTGTTTTTTTAATAATAGGTAAGAAAATTAATATGTAAGTAATATTTTTTTTATTGTTTCAGATTACTAATACAAGAAAATGTGGGATCGTAAATTAAATTTTTATATAATATATTTGTTCATAATAATTCAGTGGTAAGTTTTTCTGCATCAACTACTCTCTTTCAATTATGATTGAATCGTTTTGATCATGAATACTGTATTTCTTGTTATTGTTTTTTTTTCGTTTAATTTTAACGAGATATAGAAAAATCATAGATTATTATGAAGCTCTTGTATTGATCGTTTAGATAACATTTATTGGGACTGTTTACTAGGCTTAACGTTTAGGCCTTCGATTATTTTCCACTTGGAAAAATGTAGGTAAATATTCTATAGCGTGAAGGATTGCTAATAAAAGTTATATAAGTATATTCCTTGCATATATTTTTATATTCACTATTTTTATAATCGTCAGTACGTCTGTCTGTAAGCTACCATCGGCTCGGAAAGCAGTTATGCTGAGAAGAGCCGGCAAGAAACTCAACAGCTACTCTTTTAAATAATGAGTTACATAATTTATAACAATAATTTGCAGTACCTATTACAAATAATTCATGACTAGAGACTACAGATGGTACCGACATTGCCGTGCCAAAAGCGCCGGAAAACAAATGAATGTCCGCGTCTTTAATTATTTCTAGAGATGTACCGACTAGTCGGGAAAGCCGACTATCCGGCTATATTTATAGTCGGTGACTAGGCGGCCAGAAGTAACAACTAGTCGACCCATTACTTTATTCATATTACTATTATTAAAAAGGGGAGATTATTATTATTATTATTATTAATGAAAAATATTATTATTATTAAATTTCACTTTGTAATTTTGTGGGTACTGGGTTGGCACTGTCTGTAATAACTATATAATGCCTTTGAGACGTGTAAAATCTTAGTCTCTCCCGTGACCATGGTTGCTGTAAAGCATTCGAGACACCGGGAACCAAAAATTAAAATAAATCCGCGAAAAAATCCGAAAAGATACTTTCATGGAAAACTAGCGACTTGTTCTCGCTTCGCTCGGCTGCATCGCTAGGTACGATTTTAATCACAATTTCATGGGTTAAATTTTTTTTGCGGAACTCTGATTATGTAGGTACTTTTATTATAATACAAACTGTATTAGCTATACAATTAATTGGCTGTTTTATTTTTTGAAAAAACTACAAATAACAAAATGCAAAAAAAAAATTAAAATCTGTTCATACATGTCCGCACGCGCGGCGCATGTAAGGGATGCGAAGCGCGACAAATATCGCGGAAAGTAATAATCGGCTAGGCCGACTAGGCGGCTTATTAGTCGGCCTTTTAGTAACCGACTAGTCGGCTAGTCAGCAAAACTTATAGTCGGCCCATCTCTAATTATTTCTGTTTTTAATAGATTTCTATCGGCCAAGGTCAAATAACTAAGTGCTTTATACATAAATCTTTACCAATTAATCAAACATATTATTTTCTGTTAAAACACTACTATATAAAAATGCAACCTTACAAATGTAAAATTGTTTTACCAATTTTAGGCCTATTGCAGATTCATAATAAAAAGTAAATATATAGGTATTTTATTAGTAAATAGAACGTATCGAACGAAACGACTTTAGTCTCCTTTTTCATACAATAAGGAAATATGTAACGTCAAGTTAGATATATAATATGAGTGTGTTCAATATTCATATAACCCATAGTTTTCAATAACATTCAATTATTGTATATGGTAGACGATACAATGTATACACTATACCTATGTGAAATGTATCAAATCGACAAAGAGCAAATCTATACTAATATTACAAAGAGACAGTTTGTTTGAATGCGTTCATCTCAGGAACTACCTAGTAATCCGGTTTGAAAAATTATTTTTGCATTAGATAACCCGTTTATTGAGGAAGTATATAGCCTATATATCATAACGAAAGTGGGATAATAATGTTTTTGTCTAGGGACGAACCCGAAGCAAAGTAAGGGTGAGTCGCTAGTTCTATAAATAAGTAAAGAGCAGCGGTATTAGAAGAGTATTATGTAGGTATATATTGTAAATAAAAAGAATTGTATGTAATAGTTACATTTTTAAGATTGTAGTGTGTGAGTGTGTAAACAATTTTCTACACCTTGTAAAGATTATAATCGGTGTTGACAGTAAACGGATTGAAATACATAGATTTCACACAGCATAGTAGTCTAATGATTGAGTTATGATACAAAGTGTATAAGTGTACTTTATATTTTTTGTCTTATATTTTTAAGAAAATTTTGTCGAAGAGGCATTGAAAATTATCCTCTGATTGCTCAGATTTACACACGTTTGCGGTAGTCCCCTAGTTAAAAATATGTAGTTTGCAGTTTTTTACAAGCTGTTATTTAACTTGCAATGTTTGTTTGTTCAGATCAAATTATGAAACTTTTATCCTCAACCGATTAAGCTGAAATTTTGCATACCTACACGTTTAGTTTGGATGACGTTACATGGTTAGCTAAGTGACGTCATTCTAAATCCAATAAGGCGGACTCCCAAAGATGGTGGACCATGTTTTTTTATGCATACCATGATATGGATATAAATAAAAATATTTTATTTATATGCTCTAAAAAGAAGAAAATAAACTTTAAACTCAATCAAACCCATCTATTTATTATATTACATAATTTATATGATATAAAAGTTTGTCACGATATTTACCTATTTTAAATATTATATTTTTGTTTATCTACTGTTTTTACTTTTTATAAATACAGTAGTCCCATCTAACAAGAATTTACTGAAAAACAAGGCGGGCGAGTAACAAATCCTCATTAAATAAATAAACAATATTGAGTATTGTATTATAGCAATATGTTAAGTATTGCTTTGAAATTTAATTTAATTAATTTGTTTTTAAAATAGGCTTAGACGAGCATCAGACACTGAGTGATATCCATTCTTTATCTAAACAATACAAAACATTAAAATTTTATCTATTAGTGCAAAGTGACTTCATCGAATAATCTGATAAAACGGTTTTCTTGCAAGTATATACATACTTGAACTTGATATAAGTCAACAGTTGTTGTGCGTATTGTTCTACAATCGTTACGTAGGGTACATCTTGTATGTGTGGTTAAGTACGATTTTTATTATCAAACTAGCATTGCCCGCGGCCCCGCCCGCGTTCAGATGACCAAAAACCAAATTCTTAGGTTTTACATATTAGTCTACTCTTACATTGCAGTTTTTGTATTTTTTCTCAGAAATGAGACATTTTCCTGCGGTAAAAAGTATCCTATATGTTGACACCGATAACCAGCTACCACCATACCGAATCTCATTAAAATCCCTCCAATGGTTTTTCTGTGCGGTAACAGACAGACAGATAGACAAAAATTCTAAAAACTTCGGCCTAATTCGATATACTAGAATTCGGCCTCTGTATCGATAATAATGTTTATTTCAATAAGATTTTCCAAAAAATATTTAATGTACAGATTCGGCTTAGTTACAATTTTATTATAGTATGTATAGAATGCGTATATTACATCAAAACATTACTTAGTCATTTTAATTTATATAACTCAGTAAAAACTTTTTTGAAAACTAAATTGTAAATCGACTTCGAAAAAGTAAGAACAACTGTAGGTTTTCTTCAATAGTTTTAATAGTTAGTGACATATCTAATCGGTTTTTTTTATTTAGACCTCTTAAGCAAATCTATTTCATCTGCATATTTAAAGCCTCTTTCACACCAGAACGGCTGAACAGATCTGGATGAAATTTAGGACGGGGTAGATTGTAGCCTGGAATAGTACAAAGGTTACTTTTTATCCCGGAAAAATGTAGGTACGGTTCCCGTTAGGTAGATATTTGGTTTTGTCTAGGAACGAATTCGAAACAAAGCGAGGGTGAGTCGCTAGCACAATATAAAATATAATGCTCAACCTGATATCGATTAGACTTAATTAACGTATATCATTACTATTAACATCTTAAAACTTGGAAAAAACCAGATCTATCAAATAAATATATCAATAAAAAACAATAAACGAAGTAAATATTATTACTATTGTTATTGTTTTAGGCTAAATTCGTCTGACCGAAAATAAAATATCAACATGATAAAAAACTCACTCTTAAAATATAACCTAGTTATTGAAGTGCTTTTGGAAAGAAATGAGTCGATAATCATGGGTTCGATTCCTGCACAGACCGAAATGTAATAATGATTCCACTGATGCTATGATAATGCTCATCATACTATTGAAGGCATTTTAATTCTCTCCTGAGTGTGTATTTAACGAAATTTTGAAATTTAGTAAGAGGTAGTCATAAATTATGTCCATCCGCTTTGTCTATCTGTTGGTAACAAAGAGATGTAGAGAGCAAAATCTATTTATTTAAATATTAGAGAATACATAATATATTATTGCAACCACCAAAATGCAATTAGCATCACTAAAATATCGGTATATCAAGATTTTACCTAAAACTGTTACATAACCAATCTTAACAACAAACTTTAATTATTCATGCATTTGTCTTTATTAAGTGCCAGTACGGCAGAGAACCATCCTGCATGGCGATGGCAATGCGAAGACAGCAAGTGTGTGAAAATGAAACATGACCCAGAAGGCACTGATCTAGCTCTGTCATTGGAAGCCTGCAAAATGTTCTGTAATCAATATGGTACGCAAATTTACTAACACTAAATTTTTTACAATAATTTCTACAATATTATAAATCAATATTGGTTACGTAGGTAATATTGATTCAAACAAAACACATAATAAAATCTTTTAAGCTACAGTGAATTTAAAAGGTTTTATGTTTGTGTTGCAGAACGCAGTTCATTAATTTTCTTTATCGATTATATTGAGTTATTATTGCATATTGTAGGAGTACTACCAGAGTCCCCCCAACGTGCGTTAACCTTGTCGTGGTGGGAGGGCTCATTAGCATCCGGCACTCTAGCCGGGCGCGAAGCCAAGAAAAGCACTGGGAGGCGGTCCACCTCGTTGGGCGGTGTACCGTGCGGGTTGCTCTTGGTACTTCTCTGATAGCAAAGTAGACCGTTGGAGCAACCCCATGGCTGTTGTGGTGGTAATAATATCAACCAAGAGTCCTACAGTATGTAATAATATCTTTCATTAAAGAAGGTAATCATAATATGACAGACATATTGCTTTAGTAATTTTCTAAAAATTACGTGAGATTTTTGGAATAAAGGTAACTTAATATGACGTTTCATGATGATGTTCAAGAAAATACCTATTTCACGTGTGAATTGTGATAGATCCTAGGGATAATATGATAATTATTTTTGTAACGTTATTTGTTTGCGTGTTAGTTATAGACGAGAACTTATGGTGTAAGTAAATCTAACCAATAACCTTGTTCTCAATGTGTTACAGTCGTATTTATCCTGTTTTGAATCAGTAATGAGTCGAAGATTGTCTCAAAATAATTTGAATAATAAGAGACAGTGTAATACATCTGTGTATCCGTATCACGTTCAAGTATACATATCTGTGCTTAGGTATAGAAGTAGATACTAAAATTGCGACGAGATAGAAGTTGTGCGTGTGTATCATATGTGTGCGTGTGTGTATGTGTGTACGTTAGCGTGTGTGTGTGTGTGTGTCTATATTCTATATGGGATATTTTCTATGCAGTTTAATTAAAATTTTGTGTATATTTTAGAATTAGTGGATAACATAAATATTAGGATTAAAAGGATTTTAATGCTATAAAACCTGATGCGATTTTTTTAATTTTTTTATTAATGTACCTACTTTATTAGTACCTAAAAGATTTTATTCAAAATTTAATATAATAATAGGGTTTTAAGATATTTTAATATTTTTCACTAGGTCTTTTATGGCCAAGACCAACAGGAACAACGGACTTGGGCAGGTTTCTGTCCAAAATAAACATGAACAATATAGAGATATTGATTCAGAAGCGAGGAAGGTCAGATGATTTGATGAATGCCGCTGGTCGGGTGAGTTTTTTATGTATTCGTATTTAAGTTATAAAAAGTACTACCACGTAATGTAATGCATATACCGTGGTACTACATTTTATTTTGTACCTATTAGTGAAACTTGTAATTTTGTCAAGTTGAAAAAAATAAATAAAAAACATAATATACCTACTCCCAATGCCCGAAATAAAATGAATATCTTAAATAATATTTATTTTAGTATGGACCTTAAACTGTGTCGTGAGACCAAATTTTAAACTATTATCTTATACTAGCGACTGACCATTGCTTCGCTTGGGTTCGTCCCTAGGTTGATTCCCCATACAAACTTTCATCCCCATTTTCACCCCTTTAAGGGATGATATTCGGGATAAAACTATCCTATGTTCTTCCCAAGCTCTAAACTATCTTCTTACCAAATTTCATCTAAATCGGTTGAGTAGTTCCAGAGATTACTTCCTACAAACAAACTCACAAAATTACAATCTTTACCACTATATAATATACTTTCGATCATCAATACTTGTTGGTTGAAGATAATATAGAATGATTAGCCAAATGGATTTTCATTAAGATTTTCATATCAAAGAATCATTTAAAAGTATAACTACACAATACGTCAATATCAATAGTTCATTAGAAAATCAAAGGAACACAATTAAAATATTTATTTCTATAGTAATGTTTATTTTTAGAGATTCAAAAGCGTGGTATCTAAAGCGGTTCCCAGTGGTCTAACGCCGAAGCTCACGGGCAAAGCTGTATATGTGTACCTTGTTAACGAAAACCCTGATGTTAATGGTAAGAAAGTTTAAAAAATCATTTTATATTTATTCGTGCGTTTCGAGTACATACATATGTATATTTCATCTCGTTACTTCTAAAGTGGAGTATTTCATACTAACAAAAAAAACACAATACAAAAATAAAAACAAATTTATCCCACGGGAACCGTAAGTACATTTTTCCGGGATAAAAGTAGCCTATGTGTTATTCTGAAGTATGAGCTATATTATTGTAAAGTTTCATTAAAATCCATTTAGTACTTTTTGCGTGAAAGAGTAACTAACATCCATACACACAAACTTTCACATTTATAATAATATTATATAGATTATAATAATTTATAATATTAGTATGGATATATATTTTTTTAATTATGTGTACTTATTCACATTGAGTATACATCCGAATGCCAATCGAAGCATAAATCTTTTTTTATATAAGAAAATTAGAGAGTACTGTTTTATTTAAAAAAATATCCCACGTTATAGTGAAGATCAAACAAAATATAGTACTTATGCAAAGTCATTAAAAGCGCGTTAAAACTACACATTTATCATCGAGATATTCTTTCGTAGGCACTTTTAATTTTAACTTCAAAAGTAAATATATGACTTATCGTATATTAATTGTATAAAAATGCTAGATAAGACTGCACTTTTTTCCTCTGAATAGTAGTTGCGTCTTAAAAAACACAAATCGCTGATACATTCCATGTGTGAGAACATGCAGATTAATATTTTGTTTGTATAATTAAATTACTGTCAATTTTTTTTATTTTTAACATGAATCAAACCTATCGATGTGCCTGAAAGAGATATTCGTATTTTAGTGCTAGGTGTATTATACCATGCAAATATCGTGTAAGTATATTTTGTTTTTTTAATCTAAAATAGGAATAATATCCCTGGAATTTCTAGCTAATTACCTAATTATAAAAAAATTAAAAAATATATAAATATTATATCCGAAAGATTATTTTCAATATCGATTGACAAATTATAAATAATATCTATTACGAGTATATCTAAGAAATGCCATTGGGGCAAACAGAATTTAATAATTATTTTTTATATTTTTATACCTATGTTTTAATTTTTCTTAGAAATATTTTCCTGCAGTAAAAAGTATCCTATATGTTGACCCGGATAACCAGTTATCATCTTATCAAATATCAAAATCTGTCTGTAAATATTTAATGTACAGATTCGACTCAGAATTTTATTATATGTATAGATTTGTTTTAAAATGTGCCATTTAAACAAAGCTATTTGCCAATGTCACGTAAATTAAAGAAACTATGAGGGAGATTGGTCAGTGGTGAAATATGTTATAACATTATTAATTTTTCCTGTGATAGAGTTCTCATTAGACATGGACGAAAGCTACGGAATACGAGTGTCCCCCGAGTCCAATGAGCGCATCAATGCTACGATTTCCGCAAACACTTTCTTCGGTATTCGAAACGGATTGGAAACTTTGTCGCAGCTTATTCTGTATGATCCTGATAGACAACAATTACTGGTATGTAATAATTTATTTTTTTCCATATATATTTCATTTTGGAGTTTCGTATCCCTGTTGATAATGGGATATTTATTAGATAAAGTCTGGTGAGTTTAAGTACTCGTCTATCACAGCATACCTACTTTTTCCAAATACTAGGTGGAAAAAAATATTTTTTTGGTACTTTATACGTAAGTATAACATGTAGAAATGAATTAGTTTTTGTAGTAAAGCTATCTAACTAAAACCTTTTAAGATCTCTAAATTACTTTCAATTTGAGACTATACCGAACACTCCATGCCTATTTTTAAGATGGAACCTTTTTAAGGCAAAAGGCATAACTTTCATAATTTAGTCATGTCCATCTGCTCGTTTGTCCGCGTGTCACAGCTATTTTATCGATGTGGTACTATATAACTAAATTGTGGATGATTCTATATGTATGTAAAATAAGTACCTACGTCTCATGAGAAGCGACGATGTTACACGTACAATGCTGTCGTCAAAATACAAAAAACAAAGATAAAATAAGGTTGACACTTGTAAAAATAAATAAATTGCGACCTCTAAACGTCATTATAAAATAATATGCTAAGGGTTAATTAGCCGATATATTTGGCTCAATATTATCAAATAATGGTGCAGATAAAATATATTTCAAATGTCAATTAACTCTAATTAGGTTTTCCATAAAGGAAGCCATTTAGACACAAGCCAAACAACTCTTATCTCTTTCTTGCTTTTATTTTTATATATTATTTATTAGTTTAATGAATGCATTAAAAAGTTTCGATAGAATAAAATATGAATAATATTTATTATGTTATGGTCAACCAACACTTGGCCAGCGTGGTGGACTATGGCCTGATCCCCCTCATATTGGTAGGCCCGTGCTCTGTGGGACGTTAAAAAAGATTGAATTCATGTCATGGTCGCGTTTCTCTCATATTACCCGCGCTTATTTCATTAACTTCATGGCTGGCATCAATACAGATACTCAATTTCGCCTGTACTATTGAGTGTATGTTGCACGATATCTTCGCTAAAACTGAATTGATTTTGGTCTAATATCGTACGGAACCACTTGACGTTTTCATGAGTTTGTATAGAATAAAAAGAACCCTACCTTAGATTTTATACTATAAGACTACCTCGATGTCTTGTTGGCTGTAGAGCTTCAAATCCAGATAGCCTGCGCTCGAATCCCACGTCAGGCCAATTATTATAGTTGTCAGACTTTTCTGGCAAGAAGTTTTCAATACCGGCCCGAAGTTAGGAACATGGCTTTTAAAATTTAAATCTATCAATTCTTTGAATTTTTATAGAATTTTTGTTTGTATGGGTTAATTTAAGTTTTATTTCTGTATTGATAACGTTTGAATTATTGATGAGAAGAACTTTTTTGCTTTATCGTTACGAAAACTGGTTTGCGATCGTTGACACAAGTATTTGCATAAGAACGTTAAAAATGGATACGTTAAAGATGGTTCCGTACCATGAAATATTGAATTCACGTTTTGTTTGAACATATTTTTTTGTTATACCCTATTTTAACTATAGATTTGTCTCTAATTAGCAGTTCACATGAGACATCTACTATCTACCTACTAAATTTTAGCAATGTAGCTCCAATAGTTTTAGAGTAAAATGGCTGTGATATATGGACAGATGGACATGGCGAAATTAGGATGTTTCAGATTTAGCCATTTGGCCACGGAATACTAATAAAGTATTATGAAAATCGATCAACGTTGGGTAAATATATCGCGTAAAAGTATTAGCGACTTGATAACCTTCTTTTTTTGAAGTGGATTAATAAATGAATCGATCACCTTAGTCTGGGGTCAGTTACTCTAAAAGCTACCGTTATATTTATGGATGTTTTAATATTAATAGGCTTGTTTTAATAATAATAAATTTGATATCCTATAAGACTTTTGACTACCGGTTATATAGGGAAGGTATCTACGAGCGACTCACCCTCGCTTCGCTCGGGTTCGTCTCTAGTGAAAAACAAAAGCAAATATACTATACCACGGAGACCATAAATTTTGCAGAGATAAAAGGAACAGACAAACAGACAGAGAAACAAAAAAATTGAAAAAAAAATGGTTTTGTTCTAGTTCTCTTCTTACATCCCCTGACTTGGTTTTTAGCATTTTTTTTCTATGTACAGATATTCGACCTCTAGAGTTTTATTATAGTATAGATATGTATGTATTTAAAGTTATATATGTGTAGTGTATCAACTATCTGGTATCCATAACACAAGCCTCGTAGCTTACCATGGAACTACATAGATGGTGCTGTGTGTATATGTCCCAACATATTTATTTATTTATATTCTTGCTTCGCTTATCCGCGTATTCAAAAATAACTTTTAGATTTATAATATACTAGCAGAACCCGTGGCTTCGCTCGCGCTAAAACTACAAAAAAAGACTAGAATGATAGGATTCATAAAACTTTCATCCGCTAATTTACCCCTTATGGGATGAATTTCGGAAAATGCTAAAACACGTATTTAATTAGTTGTATTGAAGAGCATTTATACCAAGATTCAAGTATTCCTAATCATAAATATTTTTTTGGATTATATTATTACATATTTTCCCGTGGGAAAGAGATAATTTCCCGCGGTAAAAAGCGCCTATGTCATTATCCAGCCCTTCAAGTATCTCCACACAAAAAATCACGACAATCCGCCAAGCCGTTAAGCCGTTAAGCCGTTAAATAAACACACTTTCACATTTATAATATTAGTATGGATATAAATTTATAATATATATCTTTTGACCGTACTTTTTCCCATGAGAAATACAGAAACTGTGTTTTTTTCGATGATAGTCGTCTTAATCAAGTTATCTGGGAAGATGTAGTAGCATTGTGTCATTGCACTACATAAGTGATCTTAATATCCTTAAGCATAATCCCTAGACATACCGATATTTGTAGAAGTATACTTCCCAATAGCCCAAACCTTCGATTAATGTGAATTTTGGTATACGTATGGATTTCGACGCGCTAATTACGAATACATATGTTATTAAAAATACGCAGATAAAGGTATCATTTTTAAAGTCAATTTTATAAAATATGTTTTCAACGTTTTTCACGTTTATCGTGATAAATATTGATTTTAGAGAATATTTCCCACAAAAGTTGTCATAAAAAGATTAGCATTTTTTGTTTAATATTTTTATCGCGAAGAAACAATATTTATTAGAAAATGCAATAAATGCAATGGATTCGGAAGTTTATTTAAAAGTAATATGATAATAAGAAAGCTTGTTCTAGATCTAGAATCTAGATGCATAAGTAACGTTATATTGTTTTATTTATGAACCGATTGAAATAAAACTAATAGTAAATGCTAAGTGAATCTTACCACAAGACATTAGTGAAAACCGCACCTAAATCGGTTAAGTGATTTCTGAGATTAGCGCGCACAAACTCACCGATAAACACTGACAAAATTTTTAAAAACCATTGTTTTGGGTTTCAATAATAATTAATTAAACAGCTAAATATTACTGCAAAAACTGCCGTTTTAAGCACACATGATAAAAGCAAATATATGCTAAATGGTGTCGCGGGCTAATATCTAAAACCTAACATTTTAGAGTTTTTTTTGCAGTTTTAGCGCGAGCGAAGCCGCGGGTTCTGCTAATATACATATTTAAGTTACAGACCTAGAATTTTAATGAACTAATTTGAATAATACTAACCATTATCAGCTGTTAAATTGTTTATTATTTCATATTGCTTTTATGTTATTTTATATATATAGTAGGTATGTAGTTTTTATTTTGTATAATATCAATATAGTGAGGTAGGTATATTACATGTAAGGATTAGAATGCGTTGTTAATTGCTATAATAGTTACGATGGTTAAAGATCGATATCGGCCTTAATAGTTAATTAAGTTCTGATTTTTCAATCATCACATTTATATTATCGGTTATCAATCTACTAAATTATAACCCGATAGTATATGTATAAAAGTGAAAGCTTTGAACTACTTTATTAATATATAAATGTGATTTTTAATTGGATAATAATACATTTTATCATGTATATAGGCAGTGGTAGCCCAGTGGTAACGCGCTCGCTTGGGAAGCCGAGTGAAGCGGGTTCAAATCCCGGGTCTCGCACCTCTGATATTTTCATGTGCGAATCATTTCTAACATGATTACCACTTGCCTTACGGTGAAGGAAAAACATCGTGAGGAAACCTGCATGTCTGAGAGAACCTAGCAAGTTTTCGAAAGACATGTGAAGTCCGCCAACTCGCACTTGGCCAGCGTGGTGGACTATGGCCTGATTCCCCTCATACTGAAGGGAGGCCCGTGCCCAGCAGTGGGACAATTCATACAAATTTTATCATACATATGAATAACATTTTTGGTGACTGATGATTAAATATTTTTGAAAATATACACATTTGTTTCCCTAAGAGCGTGTTAGGGAAAGGAATACGTATAACGTAGGCACATATGTTTTCAAAATTAGCGCAGTTACTGATGTCCATTTAATCTTGCTAATCTTATTAGTATTATAATTTTCTTATCAATATTTAGATTATATTTGATACGTTAGTACCTATGCTGCTTCAGAAGAAACTAAAATAGGGTTTCCATACCATATCGATAATCGATAGCAGGTTATCGATGTCTTATCGAATCTGGCACTGGAGTCACTGTAGATCCGGGGTGAATGAAGCGATTTGCCAAACACCTTTGTAACAAAAACCTGTCAGTCATTATGTAAATAAGGTCACTTCACGGTTAATATATTCAAATTCTTAATATAAAGATTTCGTTATTAAATTGTTATATTAGTGCAGAAAGTATTTAAAATGTATTTGATTTTTTTATATAATAATAATAATATATAATAATACCTATCTATGTACAAATTAACACTTTATCTTTTTGTTTATAATTACCTCTGATCTGATTGAAAAGCTTTTTTAAGCTTTGGTTAATCTAGTTTAGTTCGTAAAGTTAATTAATAAGTACTGTAGTGGAAACTTAAACTAAAAATCTGGCAAGTGTGAGCCGGATTGGCGCACCAAGGAGTCCTGGTGTTACCAAAAACTAAAGTATCATGTTTGTTTTTTATCTACAATTTATTTACAATAATGAAAATTACAAATATACTTAATTATATATACAAAACAAACGTACACTTAGTTATTACTGTATCATGTTTTGTTAGGGTAAAAGAAAAATTAATTACCTACTTGTAAAGTGTTTCTTTACTAAAATCGATTATTGCTATTATTTTTGAGTTATGAGAGTCTTTTATTTGTGAGCTTTAAATGTCTAAATAAATTAGTATTGTATATAATGCACTAGGTAATAATTGTTTTTTTTAATGTTTTCCAGATGACAAGAGATGTTATCATCAATGACAAACCTGTGTACTCATACAGAGGCATCCTTTTAGACACAGCTAGAAACTATTACGGTGTTGATTCTATTAAAGCTACCATTGGTAAGTTTCATATACAAAAATAGTGTTATATTATAACTTCATTGTATATTTTTATTAACCGACTTCAAAAAGGAGGAGGACGTACACCGATTACGCTGAGATTTATCATCCAATTTACGTGATTCTTCTTTATTTGGATGCGGAATAGTTGCCATTTGGTCGCATAAAAAAATAACATAGATTGGTCCAGTAGTTTTCATTTTATGAACATTTTTGTTTACGTGGACGATATAATTTTATTTTAGTTTGGGTACTAGACCAGGGTAGAAGCCTTTAAAAATAATAAAAAGTGAAAAAAATAATAGTAGGATGCAACCCATTACAAAAGGAGAGGAATATTATAAAAATGAAAGGAAAAATAATTTACGGGCGATCTGAGGTCGGGAAGGGGATGGGGGTGAGTTTTTAAGGGTAAAAACGGTTTTTCTCGATTTCCGGCAAAACTAAAAGTCCTATCGAAAAAGTCATATGGCAAAGTTGTAGGTAATAAAAAGATCTAAAACTTTTGTATTTACACTTTTTCACATAACCTCAAAATTTATGTGAAAAAATCAAAAAACCAAGTTTTTGGTTTTTTATTTTTATCTTTTACAAAAAAAAAAACTTTTAACGAAGTTTGGTGAAAACATACCTTTTTATGTCCCAAATATGCTGTAATTTATTTGATTAAAAATATTTATTTTTTCACCTTATGTTGAATTAATATCGAAAAAGCACCCTCAAGTTCAATCGAAAATTCACCCGTCAAAATATCAGCTTTTTTCAAAAAGTTGGTATGTTTTCTGTTCGTTGAAATCTCTACTTTCCGATGGTGAAAAAAAATATATATGTTACTATAGTAAATCTTCTGAGAAAATGCAAAAAACAAAAAACCTTTTTTATTTCATACACTTGCTTATCATCTGCCTTATTGCAGATGATACAAACAGATTCATCCATACTGATAATCTGAAAAGACAAAATCGAATTAATAATGCCTTCACTATTTTATCGTGAGTATACCCCCATGAAAAAAAATATATTAAAGAAATAAATGTCAAAATGTATATAAAATATATTAAAAACCTATAATACTCACTCACTATAGGAGTTTTCACTATAGGAGTTTTCATTTAGGTTATTTATATTATTATTAGCCCGTGTCCAGATAAATGGGTATTAGGCTACCTGTTTTTGAGCGGAGCGAGCGTGCGGAGTAGAGAAACTGAAAAATATTATAACCAATCGTTACATTATTACCTACTGTAGCTTACAGAATAACCTATTACAGACACTAAAAAGTAAAAATAAAAACAAATACGTTTAAGAAAACAGGCTTAATAACTAAAAAGTATAAAATAACTGAATAATGATTTAATTTAATACACCTCTTATGCAAACCTAATACCTTTAATATTAATAAAATACTATTGTTTGTATGTGCTAGTTATTGATAGGTTTGAAGTCGGTGCCTTTAGTATAAACTCAGATCGCGGCGCGTGTATGGTACCTACCTACTATTACATTTGGCTTGGCACCGTTCTTTAAGTCTATCTATAGGTAGCACATACAAATAATAGTCTTTTTTTTAAGAGGTGTATTAAATTAAAATCTTTATCAAGTTTTTTTTATACGTTTTATTTTTTTTAATCGTTTTTTTTAAACGTATTTTTTTTATAGACACCAGCGAGGGTCAGGTACGGTAAGTAAAAGCGTAAGTTATTATCAATGATAAGCTTTTTTCCCAAGTGACACGAAACTAACTTCAATAGTGAACAGTACTACTTAACAGTTCTAGTTAATTAGTTTTCTTACGATCTAGCCTTGCTGGTTAGTAAGAAAATGCCCAACATGTCTTAAATGCCTTTGGTCAGTGTATAACGCCAGTATTGAGATTTATTGAGTTATTAAGCGTCGTCATTAACTCAAAGCCATTTATTTACCATTATGTTTAGGTTTTTTTTAATCAGGTTAAATCATATCTCGTAAATATATATAGTCTATATAAATATTACTTCGCGAATACTTCGGAGTAATAAATCTCACGACCTTGCTCGTAAAATGCAAAGCCTATCAGATTCATATAACATACGTTACGACCATTTTTATGAGTTTATATTTTGTTGTACTTTATGTAGGTAATATTATTAATTATATGAAAATATTAATTACAGAGGCAATGGCAACGGTTAAATTGAACACCTTCCACTGGCACATCACAGACAGTCACAGTTTCCCGCTCGTTTCTAAACGGCGGCCAAACTTGACTAAATATGGCGCTTACAGTCCTAGCAAAGTAAGTTTTGTACCATTATTATGCCTTCTAACGTATTAAAGACATTATATGTTATATAATTTTCCAAAAGATATTTGAATTTTCCATGTTCAAATCCAATAAGAATGATAAGTGACGCTCTTTTTAATGAAAGTATGATATTTAATTGAAAAAAAATGTAATTTGTATTTTTAAACGAATGTCTTGTCATAAATTACGAGCTAGGTCTATCTAAAATAACATATTGCATTGATCTGTTGAAGTCAAAAATAAATTTTTAATATAAATTTATCACAAAATGTCTTCAATATAATCAAATAATTGCGTTGAGCGTCACCAGTTTGGAAAAGATATGTCTCAGACCTAAAAAGAATGAAGAAAAAATGTACAAAGGAACCATTGAACTTTTTTCATTAATTTTTAATATAAAATTCTGCACATTAGATGTTGTCCCATTTAAATTAAAAAAAATCACTCACATTCCCAAGACAATTGTCATTCATTGCCACACAGATCATAATTAAGAAAAATACTGTGACAATACTTTAGTATCATTTAAATATAAATAAAAAATATTATCGTCGTCCCAAAAAAGTCATCATCATCTATTGCCACACAAATCATGAAAATGAAAAAAAATACTGTCATAATACAGTCCTACCATTAAATTTGAATTATAAATATTAACATCTTTCCAAAAAGTACCATCATCCATTGCCACACAAATCAAAGTAAAAAAAAATCAAGTCGTCACCGTCCTCAAGGTGTACACGGCCGAGGCGATACGCGACGTGGTGCAGTTCGCGCTCGAGCGCGGTGTGCGCGTGCTTCCCGAGTTCGACGCGCCGGCGCACGTGGGCGAGGGCTGGCAGGATACAGACCTCACTGTCTGCTTTAAGGTGATTTTATTTCATTTATTTGCAAGATAACTATCGATTTATCATAAAAATGTTATAGGTATTCAGTATTCAGTAGTATTCAACCTTTTTCATGGGCACGGGTCTCTCAATGCGAGAGGGATCAAGCCATAGTCCACCGCGCTAACCAAGTGCCGGTAGGCGGACTTCACATGTCTCTCGAAAACTTACTAGGTTCTCTCAGGCATGCAGGTTTCACCGTAAGGGTGCATCTGAGAATATCAGAGGTGCGAGATCCGGGGTTTCAATCGCTTCACTTGGTTTCTCAAGCGTGCGCGTTACCATTACCACCGCGTAGTTGGCGTATTCATCTATATAATCTGTATAAATATTATAAATGAGAAAGTTTGTATGTATCGATGCTTATTACTCTTTCACGGAAGTACAGCTGAACGGATCTGGATGAATTTTGGCACAGAGATAGATTATAGTCCGGAATAACACATAGGCTACTTTTTATCTCGGAAAATATATGACTGCCGAGGGATTGATTTGTTTTTGTTTTTCTAGAGGCGAACCCGAGCGAAGCGAGAGTGAGCCGCTAGTTTACAAAAATTGTTTGAATGCGAATAATAGAAATGTTTGTTACTAGTGCCGGATTTAATCTTAGCGCAGCCATTGGGCATAGGTAAAAAATGCCGCCCTATTATCGAAATTTTGAATAAAATGTTGAAAGTTTAATTTTTTTAATTATTAATTTTTTGAAAAATGGAGAAGAATAATTTATAAATGATAACAATTTTTCGAATAATGTACCTCCAATTTTTTTTTTATTTTTTGTAAAATAAAAAAAGCATTTTCGATAACGCGAAGATTAATTCTTCCCGCTATCCGAATTTTGCCGCCTAAAAATTTGCCGCCCTGGGCATTAGCCCCGAGGGCCCCTAGAGTAAATCCAGCGCTGTTTGTTACTCATGCAAACTAAGTGAATCATTAAAAACAATTGGGGACTAGAACTCGGGACCTCCGGATCGTTGCTAGATTGAGACTAGCAAGTACCATACCTATAATTTTTAGGCAGAACCATGGGGCTCGTACTGTGTCGAGCCGCCGTGTGGACAACTCAACCCGACTAAGCCCGAAGTATACAATGTGTTGGAAGATATTTACATGGACATGGCCGGTGAGTTAAATCATTTTATTATTTATCGACTTTGGAAAAGTAGGGAGGTACTTTCTCGAGCAATTGTGCATCGACTGTTGTGATTATTTTTTGATGAAGTGGTTTCTAAAAATTACACCACCAATATATTAATTAGAGAATGTATCATCGAGCAGTATACCGTTATCTATAAATAGCCTTTTTAACGTTGGGAATGCATTTACGCATTCCACCAGCATACATATAGGAGGTTATGTAGGACTCACTAGTCTAGAGAAGCCAGTACTACCAACTAAAACCCAATCTAACCTCCCTCGTCTTAATGGGGTGTCGCAACTCGCAGCGTCGCTTACGCACTCAACTGGACGCATGCTGTGACACAACAACACTTTCACTTTCGTTGCTTTCACAGTCCACTTTGTTATTAGAGAATTACTAGGTGCAACCCACATTATACATTTTGCCACTAAATCTCTTGGCTTCGGCTGCATTGTCGGACGTTAATGAATCCCGCCACTATTAACAGCTAGTGTAAGTATAATGGAACGTTCCAGAACTGTTCACGACGACGGACATATTCCACATGGGCGGGGACGAGGTGAGCGAGCGCTGCTGGAACTCGTCGTCGCAGGTGCAGCAGTACATGGCGCAGCGCGGTTGGGCGCTGGACCGCGCCGGGTACCTGCAGCTGTGGAACTACTTCCAGAACGAGGCGCAGGCTCGTGCTTACAAGGTGATTTGTTATAATATTTGCCTTTTTTTGTAGTAAGTATATTAGCAGTACTGCGGCTTCGCTCGTGTTCAAATTTTCGATCGTTACCAAACTTCCTAGAATCAACCCGCTGGGCAAATCTGTATGTTGCCTGAAATTTTTAATCAAAATCGTTCCATTCGTTATGAAGTATAGAAATCATAGATACACACATCGATTTATCCTACATATATATATGGATGAGTGATTGTTAATCCAGTAACTATTACAAATTCGATAGTTTGTATGTGCGTGTGTTTGTTACTCCTTAACTCCTAAACGGCTGGACGGGTAGGGATGAAATTTAGTACGTATATAGATTTGAAGTGTGATACTGTTAGATAGTAGTATATAATTACTTGTGCAGTTTTTTTGTTTTTCTTTTTATAAATATTAAATTTACGTACACGTAAAAATTCGACGACCAGTTTTTTCTAATTTATGATTTCCGTTAGTAAATAACTTTTTTATTATAGTAAAAATAGTGTTAAGTATTTGGTAATGCAGCTTCCTACTAGTGAAAGAATTTTCAAAATCGAATCGGTAGTTTCCAAGATTACCCCCTACATACAAACTTACAAACATTACATTTTTTTAAATATTAGTGTAGGTGTATTTTATATACAATAATTTAATACTATCGAGGTAAATTGATGATGGGCTTAGTACTTGGAACTAGAACCAATGATGTAGTGACTAGCATGTATGCTTGCACATCCGGAGGTCCTGGGTTCGTGTCCCAGGCTGGAACAAATTTAGTTATGGAATCTTTCTGTTAAGAAAGTCTCAGAAATAGTCCGGAATTGGGAAGTTGGCAGTGTTTCACCCCCACGCCCAAGCATAGCACGTAAAGCCTGATTTCACTGCGAGTATCAAAATATCTTCCACGGAATATGAGAGTGACAGGAACAGAGAGTGCACTTTTGTCCGCGTGTACACTTGTGTACTATAATATCTCCTGCAATTGGCTAGTCTCAGTGAGATCGGCCGCCGTGGCTGACATTGGTCGGGAGTACATCATCAGTAGAACTCTAAAATGCCTATTAGTAGTGCCTTCGAAAAAAGGCTTATTTCTATTTTGCCCAATTGGATACATTACAGTTGGTCAAAAAGTGTTTTATGGCTCAATAGATTTTAGTAACATTCATAATGGATTAACCCATAATCTACTTTTATCGTTGTACCTACAAAAACTAGTGATATCATAGTAATTAAAAATGATACTATATAATTTGCAGGCCTTCGGCAAGCGTCTCCCTCTGGTGCTGTGGACGAGCACGCTCACCGACTACAGCCATGTCGAGAAATTCCTCAACCCGAAGGATTATATTATTCAAGTAAGTTGACATCTATATAAGTAAAAACCGGCCAAGTGCGAGTCGGACTCGTGCACGAAGGGTTCTATAACATCTATAAAAACGGCAATAAAATCACATTTGTTGTATGGGAGCCCCCTTAAATATTGTGCCCCTATAGTTAAATTTTATTGTATATGTTTGGAGTATGGGATAAATAAATTATCAATTTCATTAAATTTGTTTGTTACAACAGTTTAATATATAACCTATACATATATACAGATAAATAAAATTGAAGTGTTAAATAAAAGCTTTTTACTAAATGTATATGAACTTATACACAGTACTACAAGAACAACTCATTTTTAAAATGTTTGTTTGTCTGTCTGTTCCGGCTAATCTCCGAAACGACTCGACTAATTTTGACAGAACTTTCACTGCCAGATAGCTGATGCTCTAAGGAGTAACTTAGGCTACTACAATTTTAGAAATTTAATTAGAGTTCCTGTCAAATAAAAACTTTTTAACAAAAAAATAAAAACCGACTTTAAACAAAAGCACTAAAAAGTAAAAAATAACTGATTGGTAGTTTTCATTTACTATACATACCTAATCAAATATTTTCGAAGTCGGTGTGCTTTGCTTTGTATCGGCTGGCTAACGTGTTAGGTTTGTCAAATCAAACAAAATAAGCCCAAACTCAAAGTATCGACTATTAGCCGTTGAAGAGTTCCACCTATCCACCTTCTGGTCTTACCATCAGATAAGGTCAACAATACCGAACCACTGTACTATTAACGGAAATAGAAACACTTGCAAAGTTTTAAGTCAATATGACAATTAGAAGTAGGTTAAATTTATCATTAGCTGTTTTTCCACCCTTAGGGGTGGTATTTTTTTTTTGGAAATTTAAATGGGACCAATCTGGAAGTGTACTCTTTCAAACAAAACAAAAATTGTCCAAATCGGTTAATAAATGACGGAGTTCTGAGGTAACATACATAAAAAAATACGGCCGAATTGAGAACCTCCTCCTTTTTGAGGAAGTCGGTTGAAAATTAAACCTAGCTAGGGACGCACCCGAGTGTAGCGAGGGTAAGTCGCTAGTACGTAATATAACTAAAACTTCACCTTTATATTTTTTCATCTCGCTGATATATATAAATTTTTTGTATCGCCACGTATTTATGTATATTGCAGGTTTGGACGACAGGAACAGATCCTCAGATCAAGGGTCTGCTGAAAAAGGGCTATCGCCTCATCATGTCGAACTACGACGCCCTTTACTTCGACTGTGGGTTCGGTGCTTGGGTCGGGAGCGGTAAGTTTATACCACTTCCTAACTTAGTTATTTGGTGTTAATTTCCCGTCTTATCTATACTGATTACAGTTTTTTTTCAGTGAGTATTACCACTGTGTTGTATTGTAGACTTTTTTTCTGGTTGGCTTAGAGATGCGTTTATTGTTGATTTTTTAACATCCCACTGCTGGGCCCTCCCTTCTTAATACGAGGGGTATCAGGCCATAGTTCACCACGCTGGCCAAGTGCGGGTTGACGGACTTCACATGTCTTTCAAAAACTTGCTAGATTCTCTCAGACATGCAGGTTTCCTCACGATGTTTTCCTTCACCGTAAGGCAAGTGGTAATCATGTTAGAAATGATTCGCACATAAAAATATTAAAGGTGCGAGACCCGGGATTTGAACCCGCTTCACTCAGTTTCCCAAGCGAGCGCGTTATCATTGGGCTACCACTGCTTTGAAGTGTACTTTAATAATGGATAAATAAATAAATAAACCGCGAAAAGATAATGGATATTAGTATACTTCTATAAATACACACAGGGCCTCCAAGTAGGTTCGAATACATTCTATACTATAATAAAACTGTAAAGGTCGAATGTCTGTACATAGAATAAAAATGCTAATATCCGAGTCAGGGGGATGTAAGAAGACAAATAGAACATATCCAGATATTTTCAATTTTTTTTGTTTCTCTGTCTGTTTGTCTGTTTGTATGGGCTAATCTCTGAATCTATTGGACCGATTTAAATGAAATTTTGCATGGTGGTACCTTATATACCGGTCAACATCTAAGATACTTTTCATTCTGGAAAATTAAGGAGTTCCCGTGGGATAGTTAAAAAACTATAGTAACTTATACAACTTAATACATAACAACTTACGCACCTAAGTTAGTAAAATTTGGCATGCTGACACCTTATATTGCCGGTCTAACTACCAGGTACTTTTTATCCTGGAAAAATGAACGGTTCCCGCGGGATATATCTGTTTATGCTTTTCTAGAGGTGAACCCGAGCGAAGCGAGGGTGAGCCGCTAGTAGTTAAATAAATACTGAAATATTTTTCAGGTAACAATTGGTGTTCCCCATACATCGGTTGGCAGAAGGTGTACGACAACAGTCCCAAGATAATGGCGCAGCAATATTACAAGCAGATGTTAGGTAAGTCTATATCGATTCATTTTTGAAAGTTTTTAATAATGCAAATTTTTAAATAAAATTTGGGTTGTTATAAAATTTCATTTTCTTTAATACTCGTATATTTCGGAGTTCATCATTTACAAGTTAAATGAAATTTAGTAAAATATTAGTAGTAGTTGTGCAGTAGTAGCTACATGAAAACTTCAGAATACAATACATTTTAAACCGTTCAGCATATTAAAGCTAACTATGTATAAATAAATATGTTGGGACATTTACACACAGTACCATCTAGTTCCATGGTAAGCTACGAGGCTTGTGTTGTAGATACCAGGCAGTTGATACATTACACATATATAGCACCTCCAGGTAAACTAAGAAATTAATTAAAATTCTAAGAAATCTATTGTTAACTGACACGCCGGCGTGTCCGCGGTCGTGGAGGGATTATCTTTAAATACATGCATATTATATCGGTTCTAGTTAACTAATACACAATTAGATTGATAAAATGAAAGACGTTTGGCATTAACATTTGATACTATTTACTGTCTGTAGACTTATTAATAAAATTGTAAGGGTCCTACTGGGACGTCAAATAAAAGGTGGACTGTATAATTCGCTGGTTTATATTGCCGTTAATAAAATTAGATAAAGTATTTCGAGGCGGCCGTTAGCGGTGGGCTCCGTGCAGGCAAGTGCGGCCAAGCCGCCACAGCCCATCGTCGGCGCGTTGATCCCCGCTCACCGCGACGTAAGACCGCTTCCCAACAAAATGATATGGAAATTATGGATTTGTGAGCACGTACAGCTTACTTGCTAGCGGTACGCGAATTGACTTGATTTTTATGTATTAAAATAATAATGAATTACGCGTGTCGTATAAAATGCCGAATTGTAATACGAGTATGTTACGGTTGAACGGTATACATGTAATAAATATAAACACCCATGACTGGAATACAAACATTCGTGCTCATCACACAAATGAATGCCCCCCAGTGGGGCTCGAAGCCAAGACCGCTGACACAGCAAGAAGGGTCACTACAAACTGAGCCAAACGTGTCGTCGAACTAAAGTAGTGTGTAACTTGTGTTAACAACATAACATACGTAACATAGGTGGCGAGGCAGCGCTGTGGTCGGAGCAGGCGGACGCGGCCACGCTGGACGGGCGGCTGTGGCCGCGCGCCGCCGCCATGGCCGAGCGCCTGTGGGCCGAGCCCGACTCGTCCTGGCAGGATGCGGAGCAGCGCATGCTGCATCTCAGGTATGTGCAGTCAGCCCGGGTTCGAGTCCCGGGACGGGTCAAGATTCATTACTCAGTTTTTCTGCTAAGATACTCTCAGTGACAGTCCGAAGTTGGAAAGTAGGCGGTGTTTCCTGTGTCGATGCGGAGTACGTGTCGCATCGCTCCTTCGCCGCCACTCTCACACTGCTATATTAATATAAAAAATCGAAATTTAATTGCTACAGTAGCTTATATTTTTGGAAAATTTTATCATCAAGACAATGTGTGCATAAGTCATACTTTATCTTTGTACTAAATTTCATTGAAATCTGTTAGCTGTTTAGCGTTAAGAAATTTAAATGTACACACTCATATATTAATCAGACAATTCCACCACAAAATCTACTCGTTTGTTCATTATTAAAAAATAGTAAAAAAAATGACTAGGAAACCATAACTCGATAAGAGATTGACAATGTATATATATCACCGTAAAATTGTAAACACTGCTAGATTACAATCTACCTAGCGAGCTGCGAGATTGTAAACTGTAAACCGATTTGACAGTTAACAATCTCGCGAGATAGAGTACAATCTAGCGGCACTTACAATTTTACGGTGACATATATATAACATTCCGAAGTGACTATTCGCCCGATCTACAGATCTACAGGAAACTTGCCCGTGGCTAACCCGTGGATCGTTTTAATTTAGCTCAAGCATATCCACGGGAAAATTTCCCGTAGCTTTCAGAGCTTTTACATTTACCAATAAATAAGATCTCAAAAACAATTAATTGATCGATTCAGCTACGGGAAATCTTCCCGTAGACCCATAGATCGGGCGTAATAGTCGCAGCCATAAAATTAATTAAAAATCGATTTTCCCAATTCCGAATTTTGTTACAGGGAACGCCTAGTTCGTCTTGGAATCAAATCTGAATCGATTGAGCCTGAGTGGTGTTACCAGAATGAAGGATATTGTTATGCGTAACACAAATGCCATATCCAATACTCATTTTAAATATTTTGAGATGATGACATTTATTTGTATTATAATTAAATCACAATTGTAATCTTTCATACAGTAATTTTGTACCACGATTTAAGTTAATAAAATTATTTTTTATATGATTGTTCTTATATTTGTTATTACTTACCTGTCGTCATTGGTTTTTTTATTATTTATGTAACAAGCTAATATCCCAAGGGAATAACTTACCGATGATGTAGGTACCGGGATAAAAAGTGGCCTGTATCACGCATTACCCCGTTTCTAACATTAGGAAATGCATTTACGCATCCCACCTGCATACATACAGGTGGTTAGGTGGGACACCCTCGTTAAAGAGCCCGTACTCCACTACAACCAGGGGAACGTTTTAGCGGTTAACTTTGCTATTAGAAAGTACCAGGAGCCACCAACATGGTTCGCCTCCGCCTTCCAAGAGCGTTTCTTGGCTTCACGCCCGGCTGGTTTGTCGGACGCTAATGAGCCCCCCCCACCACGACAAGGTGGACACCTGTTCAGGGTATTATACTTTAAACCATAATTAAAATATATGCAAATAAGGGATTATAATAATTAAAAAAAACATATTTATTAGCTATCTCTTCTTGTGAAATTAAGTTGATAAACATAGTTCTGGGTAAGCACGAAATCGAAACAGAGACGTACTATGTGCGTATTTTATTATAATTTCTAAAATATTTTTAAATTGGAAATCACAAGAGTAACTGTACGGTGGATGAAAATGAATTATTGCTATAATAATTATTCTACTTCTCAATGAATATATAAAGTTAAAAGGAATATAATTATTTGTTAATTCATCAACCCAAAAACGAAATAGCTGAACGTGAAGGGCTCGACTTTCGACAAATCTATACATAATATAATGAATTGTAACTAAGTCGAATCTGTACATCAAATATTTTTTGGAAAATTTCATTGAAATAAACATTATTATTGATACAGACTCCGAATCTATAGTTTTTAGAATTTTTGTCTGTCTGCCTGTCTGTCTGTCTGTTACCGCATCACAGAAAAACCACTGGAGGGATTTTGATGAAATTTGGTAATATATAGGTATATATATTTGGGTAATTTATAGGATATTTTTTACCACGAAAAAAAAAATTATTTCTGAGAAAAAATACAAAAACTGCAATGTAAGACTATAATAATATGTAAAACCTAAGAATTTGGTTTTTGGTCATTTGAATGCGGGCGGAGCCGCGGGCAATGCTAGTTATTTATGAAATTAAATCTTCATATTAATGATGTATAAATTTATTATAATTCAATGGGTGACGTAATTAGATTAATTTTTATTATCGCTTTTGCCCAATACTTTCTTGATCGATACGTGATTTATTCAGCTAGTGACACAAATTACCAAGTATAATATGTGACACGTTTTGTGAGTTCACATTTTACGCAGTCGGTTTTTTATTTTTGCTATTTATTTTGTAATTCCCTTGTTATTTTAACTAGCGCCTCACCCTCGCTTGGCTATATTATATACCTATATTAATATATATATATATATATATATATATATATAGTTTTACAGTAATGTATAGAAGTCTGCCCGATTTGTTGACATTTATGATTATTGCTCCGTTCCCTTGGGTAGTAGCATGGTAATATATATCCAATAAAAGAGCTATCTAATGCAAAATGATTTTGCAAATCGAATTAGTAGTTCCTGAGATTAGCGCGTTAAACGAACAAACAAACAAACAAACCAACCAATAAACTCTGCCTCTTTGTATTTTTTTCTATTAGTATAGATAATCAAAATTATATTTTGTTATTATTATACAGACATATAAATTAAGTGTACCTAAAAGTACCACTCTGTATCTTGACAGGCAATTATGAAGGGACAAGACTTAATATAACAATAAAAAAAATTAAAATAATTTAAACTCTTCAAAACATAAACATTTATTTAACTAAATATAAATAACAAGTAATAAAAATTAGTAAATTACACCTGCGTTATTCCATGCCATTGGGTTCGATCTAACCAGTTCGCTCACAATTGGTCCGGATGGCAATTCGGTGTCTATGCCAACTTCACCATTTCCACAGCTGTACATAACGTTGCCACAGCCAGCGGCTGGCACTGAGCCTCCGAGTGTAACCGTGCCAAGGAATGGCATAGAACCAGTTACAGAAACCAGGCCATCTACAACTAAACCATCAGAGAAGATAGAGAAGCTAGGCGCGGGTAGTGATGGAATTTGCATGGCTATCTGGCTGGTGAATGGTCCTGGCATGGCAGTATTAGGTATTGTTCTCGTGTTGATTAGTTCCGGTACCATGGCTGCGCCAATACATTGCGCAAAGGCATACTGTATAAAAAAAAGAATTATATAGAAAAAAAAACTAAAGTTTCTGTTTTTATATATCAGATATCAATAGAACTGAAGCCTAAACAATCGTTAAAAGTGTCAGCCTATTTATTTATGTGCGCAAATCTTCGTAACCACTGTACGATTTCGGCCAAAACAATATAGTCTTTTAATGCCAGGAAAGATGAAGAACGAATTTCACTGGTGGTGCATAGAGAATCCGATATATAGTAGCTATTTTATATTCCAAAAAAAAAAACATTTATTGAAATAGGCCATAGGGTATAATAGTATTAATATTAACTTGGGGTGCAGTGGGGGCTAAACCAAAGTAAAGATTGGTCTATTGAATAAATATAAAAAATAAAATGTAAACAAATATGGTTATCTATAGAATGTACATACCTTCAAGTACATAAGTTGGAAACAGAACACAAAAACAATTTTAGCCTCCATATCTAGTTTGTAAGTAGGTACTTGGTTTTAGTACACACGTAAGTATTGATGCCCTACACTAACCCACTGTCCTATTTATATTGGACGTTTATCAAAACGCACAATAATATTTATGTCATAATATATCTTTATTACAAAATGAATCCAAATAGTAATTATAAAATTGTAATTGCAAAATAATTGATTATAAAACAATATACGTATCACGAAATTTTCAAGCGTTTACTTTCGCCATCACCTTTTATTTCGATTTTAGAAATAGTGTAATTTTAAATTACATTATTATTATGTATTATACGTAAGAATTATAGTATATAATAAATATATTTACTGGTACGATGTAAAATTATTCAGTTTCTAGTATGCATCTCAAGGCGTGCTCTACTGGCATTTTGAAAGGTTTGCTTGATATTCGTATAGGAACGTCATGATAATCGAATATGAAATTTTTTAATCTTCATATCTATTTATAAAACCAATAATATACAAAAACTCAAGATACACAATAAGCGTCTCAAAAATGTCGTAAAAATGAAGTGCACAATTCGAAATTGTGCGTCTTTTTCAAGTAATTTGTTCATTGCTTTCCTTCGATCAACAGTAGTATTGTTGATCGAAGTTGCTTCCGGATGCCAAAATTAAAACGCACGTTGTTTTGTTTAAAAAAATACTTTGTGGTGTGCGAAGTTCGAATTTGTCTTTAGACAATTAGAATCTCGATTTTTGAATTTCATTCTTTGGTTTGAGTTAACGTCATATTATGTCGGCTGACGCCTCTTTTTGAAGAGATATTTGTTAGGAAATGTGTATCTACCACAGAAATCTTAATAATAAGGTAATATTATTAAGATTTCTGTGGTATCTACCTATATGTTTTTATAAATCAACTAGCATTGCCCTCGGCTCCGCCCGCGTTCAGATGACCAAAAACCAAATTCTTAGGTTTTACATATTAGTATGCTCTTACATTACAGTTCTTGTATTTTTTTCTCAGAAATGAGATATTTACCTGCGGTAAAAATTATCCTATATGTTGACCCGGATAACCAGCTATTACCAAACCAAATTTCATTAAAATCCCTTCGGTGGTTTTTCTGTGATGCGGTAACAGAGAGACAGACAGACAAAAATTCTAAAAACTATAGATTCGTCCTCTGTATCGATAGTAATGATTATTTCAATAAAATTTTCCAAAAAATATTTAACGTACACATTCGGCTTAGTTACAATTTTATTATCTGTAGATGTTTAAAAAATATATACATTTACTTTCTTCGATCAACAATAATTGCTGTTGATAGAAGTTTAGTTTAATTACAATACATACATAAGATATATTTAAACTTTAATAAACGATTTTTCAATTAAGATGAGTTTTTTATGCTATGCGATAGTTTTACCGATTGTGAACAGATTTTAATGTTATTTTTTTTAAATAGATTTTAAAAGTTTGTATTAAAAAATCTCGGACAATTTCTTCGCCTTAATTTTTGTGTTGCGAAAGTTTAATTAATAGATAAAGCCTGATTCGTACACAACAGCTTAGATAGTTCATTTTTTTGCTATTTTTGTCAGAACTTACTTAAGAAGTTCATAAGTTATTAGTAGCATTATTATTAACTCAAAAGTAGATCTGCTTATTAAAATGCCTGCCTACAAATCTCTTTGGTCGCCTTCATTGCAAATCTCCTTTTGATATGGAATAGCCATATCAAAAGGTATCGCATAGAAATTAGGTACACTGAAGATGAGCATAGGTTTTTTAATTCCGTAAAAATGGTTTGCCATGGGACAAGGCTATATAAAAATTCTCCTGTAATGCTAAAATAACTAGAATTTTTTTAATTTTATTTTCCTCGTGTAAGCGTTAAAGATATCCGTAAAAAAAAGAATAGACCCCGCGAGTTATCTATTGTAAGATTGCTTGAAAATCTTTTTAGCTTACTAAATCACTCAACTCACAGAACAAGTATGAATTCTGTGAATATAAAAGAACGAGTAACGTGCAACTTATTTTATTTTCATTATTTTGTGTGGAAGAGCATTAAATATTAATATCAATTCAATAATCAATTGGCTAGAAAATTTATAATGTTTATACATATCAATCTTATTTTTTCACTACAGAGTGTTTTTTTAATTACAACTTCTAAAGATGGATAAGGTGTCGAATGTTAAAAATAATAATGTCGTTGTTACCAAAATTAACTTCAACAACTTCTAATAAAGCTGTTTTAATTTTATATGTTGGTTGGTTTTGGTTTATATGTATGTATTGTTTGATTATAATATTCCTTAGAAATCTCTAGGAATATTAGTCGATTGTAGTGCAAAGCGATGGCAGGTCACTAGTAAAAATAAATGATTTTTCATACGAATAACCTCGAATTGAAAGTTTTATCAGAGGGCAAGATGCCAGGGCCGGCGTGCATCAGCAAGAGGTTGGCGACCGATTTCAATGAATTTAGGAAGATCATGACGTTTTAGCACTTGAAAAATTTATCAGTTGGGACAATGAACGTCCAAAACGTAAAGCAATTACTCTAAACTTGAACTAGAGCGTCTGTGTAAAAATAATATGCCATTTTTTTCTTAATATACCTACTCTATTTTATTTATTCAATATACAAAATTAATGTTGTAAAATTATAAAGAGTTCTAAATTGTATAATTGATATTCTTTGGCTCCACTATACAATAAATTCTTGTATAGCTAATAGAATATTATATTGTTTTGTTGGCGAATTCTCGCTGGACAGCAAGCGACTCGCTGTACCACGCTGTTGATATTATTAAAAAATATTTTTGGAACTGCTGTTTTTATTTTATTCAATTCGTCAAACGTCACATCATGGTGGCGGGGGGAGGCACAAATGTAACCATCTGTGACAAGGAAGGGGGAGGGTTCAAAAAATCATTAAACTCGTGTGACGTAATTTATGCCATGGCCCCAAACGGGTGAACAGATTTCGATGGGATTTTTTTGTTGGGCAGATAATTCTTTCAGAAGTTGTAGGAACTCCTACTTAATCTATACTAAAATTATAAATGAACATGAAAATGAAAATGATTTCTTACTTTATTAATAAATATTTATTTAACCTAAATATATGCAGGAAAACCGCTGTAAAAACAAAACTGCATTACATTATTCTATTGAAAAAGAATCATCTATTAATAAGTACACCTAATTTGTTGTTTAATAAAAGAGAATATGTTATAATACTTAGAGGATGACACACTTACCTAATGGATGCATTTATGACGCCTAAACATTGTGTTTTGTTTACTCAATCTAATTTATTTGATAGTTATCAGCTAACTTGGCGTTTCCTTAATTGACAGAAATTTTAATCTGTACATACTCGTATAATAAAATTCTAATCGAGGCGAATCTGTACATTGAACATTTTTTTGGAAAATCATATTGAAATAGTAATTGTTATCGACACAGAGGCCGAATTTATAGTTCTTAGATTTTTGTTTGTCTGTCTGTTTGGGAACACTTCACGAGAAAACCACTGGACAGATTTTGATGAAAGTAGATAGCTGGTTATCCGGGTCAACATATGGCATACTTTTCACTTCGGGAAAATATCTCATCTCTGAGAAATCTATGTATACTAAACGTTAAAACGTAACTAGAGACGAACCAGAGCGTAGCGAGGGTGAGCCGCAGTTGATCTAAAATATGATGATAATGGAAATTAAAATTCAAAATTCTACTCGTGTTGAACATTTTTGTATTAGTTTAAGAGATTTTTGGAGCTTAACAAATTATGAGTACCTAATATTTTTAGATGTAAAGCTTATATCTGTGCTTTCGATCTTCCTCGTCAACTATACAATATTTAATGAGTTTTTCTATTGTTCAGACTTAATGGTATAGTATAGCTAGATAATTCTAGCTTGAAAAAAATTGAAATAAATTAGTGTTACTAATCCTATCGATAATATTAGTAACGATATAACGAAGTAGTAACATTTTAATAACCTTAAAAATTGGGCGGAAAAGTCCAAACGAAGTTTTGCTACCCGAATTATCTTTATTTAGCCATGAGTATCTTATCTGAAGTCAAATGTCGCAAAAGATAGTTTTTTTGCATGTATTGTCAACTACTAGGGGAAAAACAATGATGCTAATTGCTAAATCTATACCTAAATATACGTATATTCAGAACAAATATATACTTTATAATAATTCATAGTACACACGTACAGGTCATGTCCTCGGCAATAGTGGTAAGAAATAAGAATATTAGCTGTATTCCTCCGTTGAATCGCAATGTTTGAGTGAAAATTAAGTCAGCGATCTTGTCATCGGTAGAAGCAAGAAGATGAAGTGTTTATTTATTTATTTATTTATTTATCATTGGGAAACATACAGCGTATAGTTAATAAGATTTAGTTAAACACTTCTAAACAAAAAACTTAAGCCAATAAAGTTTCCACTAAAAAAAACATAAACGAAGTGAACTTAAAATTAACAGGAATAAATCGAACAAAAAACAAGAATACTAAACATTAACAAAATTTATGGTTTTTTTTTAATAAGTGAGCGAATTTTTTGAACCCATTATTGAATAAGTCGATGTCATGATATTGCTTATTATACATATTGCAGGATCTTACAATAAATGAATTGTCACAATACTTTGTTCTGGAGACAGCGGTGGAGAAAGTAGCCTGAGAACGAGTGCCATGTCTAGGGCAATTAAATGATATTTTATTTAATAGGTACGGAGAGTCAACTAAATTATGAATTATTTTGTAAAGAAAGAGCTGATCTTTTTGTTCTCTACGCTTTTCTAGGGAAGTAGTATTACTAAAAGAAGCAGAGCCAAATCTTTTTTTTAATCTTTTTAAAAATTTATTTTGTATTTTTTCAATTAAGTCAATATATTTATTATATTGTGGATTCCAAGCTGTAGACGCGTATTCCAGATTAGCCCTAACATAAGCATTATATAGCAGTATTAGTGTATGAGCATTTTTAAAATCTGCCCCTTGCCTAAATATAAAGCCTAGCATCTGATATGACTTAGTTGCTACATGATTTATATGATGATCGAATATGATTTTACTATCCAACTGGACTCCAAGGTCCCTTACCTCTGTTACTCTTTTTAAATTAGCGTTCGAGATTGAATAGTTATAAGAAATTTGGTTTTTTTTTTCTTGAAAAAGTAATTGTGTAGCATTTTTCTAAATTCAAATATAGACTGTTGGATCTGCAATACTGTTCGAGTCTATTTAGATCGTCTTGCAGGCCAGCACAATCTTGCTTATTCTTTATAATTTTGAATATTTTTGTATCATCTGCATACAATAATATATTTGAATTTAAAAAGCATCTATTGATATCATTAATGAATATATTAAAGAGTAAAGGTCCCAAGTGCGAACCCTGAGGCATTCCTGAAGTAATTGGAACAAAGGAAGAGGTAAAACCTTTAATTGCCACAGCCTGGGATCGATCACGTAGATAAGATGCTAGCCATCGAAGCAGATTGCCATGTATGCCGATGTATTCAAGTTTTTTTATTAGAAGGTTATGTGAAATTTTATCAAAAGCCTTTGAATAATCGATATATATAACATCTACTTGGTATCCAGAATCCATTGCATTAAGTACAACATCCAAAAACTCGCAAAGATTAGATTCGGTCGATCGCTTATTAATAAATCCATGTTGATTATTCATCAACAATGGTCTCAATATTGGATATATCATGTCATATATAATTTTTTCAAAAAGCTTAGGAATGGTGGACAACTTTGAGATTCCGCGGTAGTTTTTAATATTTCGTTTATCGAGATGTTTGTAAATTGGAGTTATCAAAGATTTTTTCCATTCTGTAGGTAGACAACCGGAATTTAAAGATTTTTTAAATAGAATAGTTAAGGGTATACTTAAAGTGTTACTACATTGCTTCAGAAAAATTGGATGTATAGCGTCTGGTCCACTCCCCTTATTTGTATTACATGTAGAAGTGTTATTACATCAAATCCATAAGCCAAATGAAGTTTCTGTTGCATATGTGATATGATAATGATAGTCGGTGGAATCAGCGTTAAACCATCAACTCGATTTATGATACTATTATATTTTTGAAATTTTTCTTGCAAGAGATTTTATGGTGCCCATAAGATTCAACCTTTTGCCTACACGAGTTTATGTATGCTCTAAATGCTCAAGGGAGCCATGTAACTGGAGACCTGAAACTAAAAATTATTTTTGTGTGTTTGAGTTAATAAGAATGGTGAAATCTGTTTGACCGCTGTTAGTAATCTATGTTTCAAAAAGAAGGAGATATTTTTTTTGTTGGCGATGCGTAAGTCATTCAAAACCTATTATATAAAATTACATTGTGTTTTAACGAATATTATGAGTACTAATGTTTTTTTTTACCACATCTCAATATGATTGTGATTTTTGTTAACATTTCTTCTTCTATGACTAAATTAACAAAAGGTTTCCTGATGCTACGAGTATATCAGGATTTGCTCATGGGAAGTATTGAATTATTTACTTACTTATTTTTATTGTACATCTTTGTTTAGTGATACGCGTATAACAAACATCCGGTCGACAGTATTTTTAAATTATAATTGTATAAAGTAGGATTTTTGTACATACCAAATATATAATCGACACTCGTAGCTGAGGTCAAAAGTTAGAGTAATGACCAACCTAACGACGCTTATCTTTCATTGATAAGATTTTATACTTCATGGATCTGCAATTAATTTCAATTAACAAAAATAACGTTCTAACGAATTTTTCTACCTAACCTATATTTATGTTATTTCGTTATGTAGGTATATGAACTTCAATTGTGGTTTTTTTTAATTAAAGTTTATTCATTTTAAATTTTATTTTGTGATATCCATACTTCCATATCCTACTAACATTATAAATGTGAAAGTGTTTGTTTTTGTTTGTTCTTCTTTCACGTCAAAACAGAGTGACGGATTTGCGTGATTTTTTGTATGGATATAGTTGGAGGACTGGAGAGTGACTTAGGCTACTTTTTACCGCGGAATATTATCTCATTCCCACGGGTTATCAAGGTTAACAAGGTTAATACAACCCAAAAAAAAATATGATCAGAATTACATGAAACTTGGTATAAATAGTAAATACTCTTTAATACAATTAAATAAGTATATTATGAAATAAGTATTGTATGGAACCTACTTTTTAGATTTTTTTGAAATTTAAGCGCGAGTGAAGCTGCAGGCTCTGCTAGTATCATATATGTATATATAGTCTATCTATTTCATACTTACCATTAAAACGTACCTTTTTTTTTAACGTTGGCAAATGCATTAACGCACGACGTGTGGGACTCACCGGCGTAATACAGCCAGTACTACCCACTAAAACCCAACAAAACCTTCCCCCGTCTTAATGGGGCGTCGCAGGATCGCTTACGCATTCAACTACGACGCCCCGACGGCAGGTCTGCCGAAGCAGACCACCACAACCATGGGGTTGCTCCAAGGTCCACTCTGCTATCAGAGAAGTACCAGGAGCAACCCGCATGGTACACCGCCCCCCGAAAAGGGCCACCTCCCACCGCCCACCGAAGTGGGCAACCTCCCTGTGCGTTTCATAGCTTCGCGCCCGGTTGGATTGCCGGGCACTACTGAGCCCCTCCACCACGACAAGGTGAACGCACGTTGGGGGGGACCATTAAAACGTACCTAGCGAAGCGAGGGTGAGTCGCTAGTACATATATATTTTTAAATCATGGATTGAAATCAAAAATATGAATAAACAATCGACTGATCTGTGATAGTAATTCAAGCAAAATTAATAAATTTAAAATATGTAACTGCTCAAATAATCAGAATCGTAAGCTTTATCTATTAGAATAATAAATAAAAGAAATAGTCAAAATAAGTTACGTAATTTCCAAGTTCTTTTATAAATCTACAGTGAGATCAAACCGAACAGCAGTTAAAGTTACCGAGTTTACAGCTTGCTTTTCATCGGAAATGCTCAAAGAGTTAAACTAACCGCAGACATTAACCCATATCGTGTTTAACTAAAGTGTCGTAACATGTTCCTTGTCTAAGATTTTAATACTGTTTATTTTGGATCGTTCAGTCATTTAGTAATTACTAATTATAGACTAATTAGGTAATAGAGAAATCAATAAAAATAGGTTTAGGACATAAAAATTGAACTTTGGTTCGAGTTTGAGCTTGAGGCATGTTTTTATAAGCGTTGTTTTAAAAGCTATTGACTTTAGTTAAAAAGCATATTTTACACATTTCAAAGATAAATCTCATAAGTGATTAGAAGTAAATTACTATGCAATATTGTGCGTTATTTTAAGGAACTTTTTTAATGTAATATATACATACAATCCATACATATACATATAATAAAACAGTAACTAAACGAAATCCGTACACGAAATATTTTTTAAAAACAATTACTTTAACGTATTATGTACACAATATAGACCTCAAAATAATAGTTATTAAACTTTTGGCCTGTTTGTCTGTTTGGGTTTGCCTTTCACGCAAAAAGTACTGAACCGGTTTTAACTTAATTTCGTGTAGTGAATTAATAGCTTATTACTCGAGTCAACATGTACGATACCATTTTCTACAGGAAAGTCTTTCATTCCCACGGGAAAACACAATAACTGGTCTATCGAGTCGTCCTTAGAAATTTATATGGCTAACGCTGGCTAAGCCTTAAGAGATACATCAAAACAATGTAATAGAAAATTGTAGGTCTTAAAGAGGCCTACAAAAAGTTTACAATAGCGTATGTATACTCGCAAAGATTTTTTTTATCTATACTATAATATTATAAAGAGAAAAAAAATTGATTATAGTTTGTAAACTAGGATAAACTCAAAATCCGCTAAACCGACTTAGATGAAATTTGGTATGAAGATAGTTTGAGACCCTGGGCGGACATAGCAGTCTTTATGCCGGAAATCATTCCTTAAGTGGGTGAAAAGGGAGATGAAAATTTGTATGAGGAATGTGGGGAATTAATCATTTCTCAAGTAGAGGACATAAAACTTAATATACCTATACATAATAAAATAAATAATCCATCTATTCCAGACTAACCGCTAAAACGTACCCTAGGGACGAACCCGAGCGAAGCGTCGTTAGTGTGTAATAAGATCTAATTATCTCAATACAATACAATAAAAAATACCTTAAAAAAGCGAATTTTAGAAAATAATATGTGGATAACCAAATGAATGTTCCTTACACAGTACACTATCCACTATCCAGTGTACAAATATAAGGAGAACAAAGAATCAGTCTAGTGCGCGTTAGCGATGTGGACGGGCGTCCTGCTACTTTGTATCGCGGGTGCCGGCGCGATCACGCGCGACCAATTCTACCCACATGGCCATGGAGTCGACCAGAGGCTGCCTAGGGGATCCTCTGTATCATCACCAGAAATAAACCTTAACGTACCCATCGTCTTCTTTGGAGAAACCTATGAAACAATATTTGTAAGTTTTTAAATGTTTTATCTAATTATGGTATAAAAGGTATCTCGACATTTCCTTGTCAACTTAAAGTTTCGAATAGAACTTTACGACTATACTAAATGATTGTGCAGTAACTCATTTAACTACAGGGGCCTTTATATGTAATATTGATATAAATAATTGGTAAATATCTGCAATAGTAATAGTAAAAAGTAAACTTGAATGGCCAAATGAGTATTAGGAAGTTTAAAAATCCTAAAAGCCAAATAACAAAGAATTGATTGATTGATATTCAAAAATAAATAATTACAGAGATTTTTTTATTATTTTGGAAATTTTCGTTTCATTCAAAGATTTGAATTCAAGTTTTCGCCTTTACGCACTAATTTCTCCTGTGGCGTAGCAAGATATAACTATTGAGTGTGCTTTCGATTTCCTCCAATATTGATATCGTATGTAGTAAATGTGATTATAGTATCGAGATACTTTGTTTAGTCTTAATCTGATATTATGCGATTAAAAGGCAATTATTTATATTGTATAAATAATTGCCTTGCGCAGTATTAAACCCGTTACTTTTAGCGAAGTCAGTCGTAGATTATGAGCTACGACAGTTGCCAATTGTATTTAGATGGTCAAAATTTAACTATTTTTATCAAATGACTAGCGACTTCTCCTCGCTTCGCTCGGGTGCGTGCTATAAAGTAGTATATATATTGTACTATAAAGTAGTCGTGTTACTCCAGGTCATAGTCTAATTGTAGGTATACTAAATTTTATTTACACTTGTTCCGCACTTTTAGCATGGAGAAGTAAGGAACAGACGTATTAGGTATTGCCTATTAACGAAATTTAGTGTTATCAATAAAAGTATTTTAGAAACAGTTAGTTTATTTTAAATATAGATAAGTAAACTCTATGCATATTATAATATGATAATTCCACTGGGCGATCACTAGTTGTTATAAATATACTATCTCATCTTTATCGTTCTTCTATACATCATTTTCGTGAAAATGAATTTGATAACTCAAATATATTTATGTATATCTATTAAATTATAGAGTACCTATCCAATTGATTATACCTATTTGTTGTTAGTATGCTGATAATAAAATTGTATAAGGGGATGACGATTTGTAATAGGTATAAATTTTTAGCCGTTTAGTATTTTTCTTTGATATCGCGAAAATTAATTAATGAGAATATATGTTACATTTTAGAATTTTTAAGTTTGCCCTTTTTTCACGCAACAACAGATTGCTGTTGCATAGACATAATTTCCTTGCAGGGAACAATATTGTACGAGTTACAATATTTTATTCAAAACTATAAATATATGATAAAATAATTTCTATTTTTATAACATCTCAATTCTTCGTTACAATGTTTTTCTTTGCAGGTGTCGATTTATTTGCCGCAGCATGACATAGGGTTATTTGATGAAGGGAACATTAAGCGATTTCTGTGCGGTATTAGTAAACTAAGTATATGTACTACTTAGTAGTAAAATCTTATGGAGAACATGCTCTGTGAAGTTAGGAACTGATGTAGCCATTGACAAGGAGGTTGAATGGAACATGATCTAAAGGGGAATTTGTAATAAATCGAAGTACCGCGAAAATTTGTATGCCTATTTACATGGTTGTTACTTCTCCACGCTACGGCTGGAAGGATTTGGTAGAATTTTAGTAAACTTTATGGACTATAAGCTGGAGGTAGTCCAGATTATATATAGCCTATAATGTATTATAATATGTACATTTTAACACTCGAGCGAACTAAGGTTAAGTCGCTAGTGAAATATAGAATTAATGTTTCTTAAAATTACGAAGTTTTGTAAGTGAAATTACACTATTTTGCATCGTTTATACAAATATTTGCGTCCCACTAGCGGTGGTCAGAAATAGTTCGGGAAAGTGACATCGAAAATAAAGAAAATGAGAATCCCGAAATGAACGGGCGTATTTGTTTATATGCATTTTTACTATTACACATCGCGTGCCAAATGTATTTATTTAGATGACATTACAGGCTAAAAATACTTAGATGTGACTATTTAAAACAAAATATGTATGACATTTTATTAATATAGCTATTATTTTACAAAAATGAGGTGACCTGATTATGGTTTTCCAAATATTTTTTTAAAATTAAAAATAAATGCATAGTGTTAGCTTTATCTACTAGACTTTTGCTCGCTACTTTCAGGGCCGTCTTAAGCCATGCGGGGCACCTGGGCAGTCTTAAGCCATGCGGGGCACCCTGGGCACACAACAACTTAGGGCCTTTTTAGAAAGTTAAAAAATGTGAATTATAAGAAAATTACTAACTAAAATACAAAAAAAAACTCTTATAGTGTAAAAATGACCTAGTAGATAAGTAATATAAACTGAAAATTAAGCTTTATTCTCTTTTCCAAGTAAACGAGAATGTTGTCTTTTCGGGGCCATCGTGAGAGTAGGGGCCTCGGGTGCCTTTATGGTAAAGACGGAACTGGCTACTCCTCTCCCCATTGTAAATGGCAATAAGAGGCAGCCTATGTCCATCTCCTTGCCTAACTCGGAAATCCGTTTAGCGTTAAAAGGCAACAAAGGCACTGAAAGGGTTAGTTTCACATTAATTATAATATTACTTACTATATGGTTCATCTATAATCGAACAATGTTCATAGTCGGTTAATTAAGTATGGAATATTTCTTATGTAACTAATTTTAAATACATAAATAAAAAAATATTATTATGCTATATTTATCTCTAAAACAGAAAGTTTAGCGCCAAGCGCCATAATTTATGCATTTCACTAACTATGCGCCCGCCAAGGAGTTCTAAAGCATTTGACCTTCAAATTTAAATTTTTCTATTTAAAAAAAATCAATTTTTTAGATCATGGTCACGGGAGAGACTAAGGTTTTGTCTGTAACAAGTATATAATGACCTTTGAGATGTCTAAAACCTTAGTCTCTCCCGTGACCATGATTGCTGTAAAGCATTCGAAACGTAGGGAATCAAAAATCAAAATAAATACGCGAAAAAAAACAAAAATTTAGTTTTATTTAAAATGTCAAATATTCGCGTAAATCTAAGAAAGTATTAAATTTTTCTATTTTATTATGTGACATCAACAAACAACAAACCTATTTATATTGTAGATTTGCATAGTCCACACACATTTGCCTATTAAAAGTATGTATGTATTCAGAAAGGTCAAAAGATACAACCCTAAATACCACCGAAAACAATTTTATATGACTAATTATGGTAATCTTCACTTCCGGTATTTACACATGCTCGTTTTCGTTAACTATTGAATTAGAACGATGTCCGAAATTAAAAGACAATAGATACAACATTTTCACTTCTAATTAACGTGATTTCTTATTTATGTTTAATTTGGAAAAAATAAAATTTAAGTGTCTGTTTGAATGTCAAAATAACAGCGTTTTACTAAATGCATATGAAATTATATACGGTACTTATAAGAAAAACACAATTAAAAAAAAATTATCTGTCTGTTTTTTTGTTCCGGATAATCTCTGAAATAGCTGGACTGATTTTGACGAGACTTTCATTGGAAGATAGCTGATGTTATAGGAAATAACATAGGCTACTTTTATTTTAGAAAAGGATTCGGATTTTAGAAAAGGAAGGTTCCGATCAAAAAATTTAAAACGTACCTAGGGACGAACCCGAGCGAAGCGAGGGTGAGTTGCTATTCGCTAGTTAATATTATAAATATGAAAGTTTGGATGGATGTTTGTACTATAACGGCTGAACGGATCTGAATAAAATTTGGCACACAGATAGATTGTAGTGTGAAATACCACATAGATTACTTTTTACCCCGAAAAATTGTACGGTTCCCGTGAGATAGATTTGTTTTTGTTTTTTATTATTGATGAACCCAAGCGTAGCGAAGTAGCTAGTTGTAAATATCAATCAAAATCAAAAATCAAAATAACACCACGAAAATATCCGAAAAATACATAGTTTTAAAATTGATTGTTTGTAGAGAGATTTAATTTTAAGATTGCATCAAATATATATCTCGAAATTAGTAGCGGTATAAGTATCAAATAATGCTAAAAATACTGTGTAAGCTCTTTTCCGATACTATTTTATTTTTAAGTCAAACTAGCAAACAGAAATTATTGATATACTTACTTATAAAATATCTACTTTAATTAGGTTTGATCTCTTCACAATTTTAATAAGTAAATACTAGCTTTTATTCCTGGGGGTTTGACAATCTAAGATGATGATGTTCTCCTAGCCGATTCCGGCTACGGCGGCCAATACTCATTGAGACTAGCCAACTGCGCAGGAGATATTATAGTGCTCAAGTGTACGCGCAGACACAGGTGCACTCTCTATTCCTATCACTCTCATACTCCGGTGGGACGACCACTCGACACGACCGGTGAGAGTTGAGGCGCAGGACCGACGGCTTTACGTGCTCTCCAGGGCACGGGGGTAAAACACCGCCAACTTCCCAACTTCGGGCTGTTACTGAGACTTACTATACAGAAAGACTCAATAACTAAACTTGGCCAGACCCGGGACTCGAACCCAGGACCTCCGGGTGTGCGGCCGTACATGTTAGCCACTACACCACCGAGGCACAAAAATATCAATAAACAATCTATATAATCGCTATCGCTAATACTCGTAGAAAATCATAAAATGTGTAGAAATGTGTATCTAATTGTAAGTCATGTCACGTGATCAGAATTAATTAATGAATCTATATAAAAAAATACTAATATATAAGGCTGAAGAGTTTGTTTGTTTGTTTGAAAGAAAGTACTGGTCTGATCTGAAAAAAATGTGTCCATTTATTAAGGAAGGAAAGCTATCTAACACTACAACTCACAAAAATAAAGTAGTTTTACAAAAACAGACGCGGGCGGCACAACGAGAAAACGCTAGTCTATACATGTAATAAAATTGTGACTAAGTCGAAGCTGTACATTAAATATTTTTTGGAAAATCTAATTGAAATAGGCATTATTATCGATACAGAGTCCGAATCTATAGTTTTTAGAATTTTTGTCTGTCTGTTACTGCATCACGAGAAAACCACTGGACAGATTTTGATGAAATTTGGTATAATGATAGCTGGTTATTCGGGTCAACATATAGGATACTTTTTACCACGGGAAATTATCTCATTTCTGAGAAAAAATACAAAAACTGCATCGTAAGGGTATACTAATATATGTAAAACCTAAAAATTTGGTTTTTGGTCATTTGAACGCGGACGGAGCCGCGGGCAATGCTAGTCCTATATACTTTTATTCTTTCATAGCGGTATCAATTGTAGAAAATAAATCTGACTATTAACAGGGCAGTTACAGGTTGTTTAATAAAAAAATAAATGTGACCTACATTAGCTTGATCTAGTATCGACATAGCTTTAGGGTAGGGCTAATCAATGAAGTCATTGACCGAGGTATCCTCCGCCCACGTGTTCCGCTGCACTATCAGAGTTGCAAATTTATTGCACTTTACGTAAAATCGTGAAATTATTATTTTGACATGTATTATATGTGATATAATATGATAATTAGGACTAGTTTTCAAGTGATCATACAAAAGTAATCGAAAAATATTCTATAACCTGATCATAATTCAAGTGACATTTCCAAATGTCATTATTTAAAAATTGATACGCGTTGAGCTTCCACGCTGAAGGGTTTTTATTTAAGAGATTTATTAGTTACTAGCGAGCTTCGGTCTGGTATATCCCACGTGCCCTTTGTATTTATAATATTACGAGCGACTCACCATATTATATAGCCAATAGCTTTCCTCAATAAACGGGCTATCTAATGCAATAAGAATTTTTCAAATCAGATATTTAGTTCCTGAGATTAATACGTTTAAACAAACAAACTCTATCTGTTTATAATATTAGTATAGATGGCAGCGCCATCTTTTGGCAAATTTTATTACTATTAGTACCTGTGTAGCCTGTGTTCCTCCAGATCACAGTTTCTCTTCGTCTATCCTTGGCTGTCCGTTTTCGCGTGAAGGATTAACATACATAGATACATACATACACATAACCAGAACCTTTTACGATAATAGTGGAATTTTGAGACCTTGGTAAAATAAAAACTTAATACATATCTAATATATCTTGGTAAAGCCAAATATAAAATGTCTTCTATATCTTTACATATCTTTATTATATTTTTTATCTTGTATTATACGCGTAAATATAAAAAATGCCTGGCAGTGATTCTGTGATATTTAATGCGGCTGTGCAATTTTTCGTAATAAAAAATAGTAAGAAGAGTGTGTTACTTGTTTTGCCGGAAACAGAAACGGCTGACTAGGCAGAAGATAACAATATGTAATATGTAGTAAAACCGTTAACATATACTTATTCACATTTAGTAGGTACTAACACTATACTTAGTTATTAGCTTCTTAATAAAGAGAAATAAAGAGGGAAATTTTGATAAAAATCTTCACTAAAATTTCATTTTTAATAAGAAAGGCATTTGGAAAGCATTCGTTAAGTTCGGTGACATAAGTGACATAAGCATAAATAAATGAAGTGATACTCTAAGTCTAATATAACCAACGTTATTTTTTGGACATAGAAAATATAATTAATTTATCAACCTGCATTAACTAAATTATGTTACAATATTTCATATTTAATTTAGAAATTTTTGTATGTTATCTCAAGTTAAGCAAGTGTCGAGACCTCAGTAGGTGCCTAAGCATTCGATATTCTTATCTGTGGGGTCATATCGTGTGGTGTATACGCCTACCTACCTAATCAGAAATAAACTTTACTATGTATAATTATTACGTAATAATTTGGCAATGGTCTCGAACTTAAAGGTCTATATTGTCAATCCCTCTGTTCGTGTTACCTTTTATTCGGCTTGAATCTTTTGAATTGTAAAAGGTACATAACAGTTTGAGTTGTCGCGGTGGTTTTTGAAATTATACTTCTTTTGGCACGCTAGAAATAATTATAAGCCAAAAAGCGACATGATGAAGTTAGCTGCATTCCTTTTAAAAACAGAGAGTTGTGACATACGGGATGAAATCTTTAGCTATTTTTGTTCTGTTATGCCAAAGAAGTAAAACTTACATTAAATTAATGTGCTTTTTTAAAGGTTGACATTGTATAGTCTGGGGATAATTTCTTATTCAATTTAATTCTCTGCTATTGATGAATATTGTTTATAAAATATCAATATATTTAATAAAAACCAGCCAAGTGCGAGGCGGACTCGCGTACGAAGGGTTCCGTACCATTATTTATAAAAACGGCAAAAAAATCACGTTTGATGTATGGGAGCCCCCTTAAATATTTATTTTATTCTGTTTTTTAGTATTTTTTGTTATAGCGGCAACAGAAATACATAATCTGTGAAAATTTCAACTGTGTAACTATCACGGTTCATGAGATACAGCCTGGTGACAGACGGACAGACGGACGGACCAGCAGAGTCTTAGTAATAGGGTTCCGTTTTACCCTTTGGGTACGGAACCCTAAAAACGATAAAATTATTAGTACTTGTTAACCTTAATTTCGGTAATAGTCGCTAGGGAAAACTAACCACCGCGACTATACAGATATAAAGTCTGTATTCTGTACTCTGTAGTGTGCGGGGCTTCAAACGCTCGTAGCGTGATGCCAATCCAAATATGTGCTTGTACCTACATATGCACATGTTACGTAAGCTATGTTTTCTCGTCCTATTTATAAATTAGGTGAGAGGAGTTAGCTTAAGCTAGGCGTTATCTTATATAAGTTAATTTTAATATTTTTTTACTATTAAAACAAATAAATATGTACTGTTAAAATTTAAAGGATCATAACTCTAATGCGAATGGTACAAGACGGTTGGTAGATTGAAGTTTTGAATAAAAAGTAAAACCTATACAAAAGAACAAAAATAAAAGCAAAAACTAAAATGATTATTTAATATTTATTTCAGGTCAATAATTATGGAATCCTATCATTCCGAGTGGACATCCCAACTTTCCTCAACGCAGAGTTCCCTCTGCCATACCCATCGATTGCAGCATTTTATTCTAATGTCGACACAACAGAATCTGGGGAGGTATACTACAGAGAAACGAACGAATCTCACGTCCTAACTAAAGCAGAAGATATTGTACAGAATAACTTCCACGATTATTACGATTTTAGACCAACAAGTGTTTTCATAGCCACATGGATTGATGTGACTTACTTCAGCAAACAGTGGCAAGATCGTAAAAACAGCTTCCAAATAGCCGTCATAAGCAATGGCACGGAAACATTCGTACAGTTACTCTATCCTGAGAGAGAGATCCAGTGGATACAAAGGGAGACTCAGCCTAGCAGTTTGCCTGATGCCAAAGCTCAAGCTGGGTTCGTGGCAGACGATGGCCGGCTCTTCACTTTAAGAGGCTCTGGTAGCCATCAAATTAGAAATGTTGTTTCGTAAGTATTGTGGATTAAGTACTAAGATTAAATATATTTTTAAATATGTTCTGAATACTTACCATCTTAAAACTTAAACCTAAATACACACAATCTTTAACAAGTTTTTTATATTACAGGTGGTCCAATACTCAGGAGCCAGGAGTGTACCTTTTCCGTGTAGGAAATATCTTGATGAATGAAACAGTGGCTGTTCCAGACCAATATGATGAGAACGAAGTTGAAGTTGAAGAGGAAACTAAGACTTGTGCCCAGACTGGTCCAAGTGTGTGTCACTTGCAAGCGAAATGTGTAGATTACCAAGCTGGAATTTGTTGCCAATGCAACGAGGGTTTCTATGGAAATGGCAAATCATGTATCAAAAATGATGTTCCCTTGAGAGTACATGGCAAGTTAAATGGTATCATAAATAATGTCAACCTCAATGATGTTGATATCCAAGCATATGTTGTTATTGCCGATGGTAGAACTTACACAGCTTTATCGCAAGGCCCGCATGCTCTTGGGCCTAGTTTGCAGCTTTTGAACACTCTTGGAGGAGTTATAGGATGGATTTTCGCAAAGCCTTCCGGAACAGCTAAAAATGGATATCAACTTACTGGCGGTATCTTTAATCACACAGCAGATATATATTTCCCTGAAACTAAAGATAGAGTAATAATTAACCAAGAGTTTGTTGGGCACGATGTCTTTGATCAGCTTACATTGGACGTAGATGTACGTGGTACAATACCTAGTGTGTTACCAGGATCAAGATTGGAGATTTCTGAATACGATGAACAGTATACTATTGTAGAGCCTGGACAAATACACAGCGTTTCAAGTCGTATCTTTAAAAACAAAATGACAGGTCAAAATTATGAGCAAAGGGTATCGCAAACATTTGTATTTAATCCTTGTAAATATGCACCACCTTCAGAGGAAGACGCCGTTCCAGTAACTTTGAAAGTGATTAAGAATTACTTAGGATTCGAATCAAGAGACAATATAGTTAGGTATGGGTCTAGTAACAAAATTACTTCTAATATCCAAGAGGACCCGTGCGTTGATGGACGTAATTCTTGTGGACCTCACAGTACGTGTGTTGTACAAGGCGACTCATTTGCTTGTATTTGCCAGTCGGGTTATAGTAGTATTTACTATGGAAACTCAAATATTTGTGTCGATATAGATGAGTGTGAGGCATCAACTCATAATTGCGACAATAACGCAGATTGCTACAATCACGAAGGAGGCTTCCAATGTAGGTGCCGTGAAGGTTATGAAGGAAATGGTATTAGTTGCACCTACGTTTCACGTTGCGGAAATAAGATATGTGATTCAAACGCACAATGCATAAATAATCCACTAGACGAAGCTTATTGTTTATGTAAGCCAGGTTATACTGGAGATGGTCAAAGATGTTGGCGGGCAGTCGATACATGCAACTGCTCTCCTTATGCCCATTGTAATTTCTTTGCAGAATCTAACAGTTACCGTTGTGAATGTAATTCGGGCTATATAGGTGATGGAAGATATTGTACAGAGGATATTAATCAACAAACAGAAATTGAAGAAACGCCAAGGCCAGGTCCAGTACAAGAGGAAGAACCAGCGCCAGTACAGGTACCAGAACAAGAACCATATCAGGAACCAGACCAAGAGTCATATCCAGTGGAGGAACCAGGACCATATCCATCACCAGACCAAGAACTTGATCAAGTAACGGTATCGGAGCCCTACTCGACCTCGGAGGCGCAACCAGAAAAAAATCAAAGAACAGAAACAGAAGTCGACGTATTTGTTAGTACTACAGAATCCACCACGCTAGTCCACACAGAACCTGAATATAATGAAACATACGTGTTAGGACATTGTGATGCCTATGGATGTGTTTGCCCCCCAGGGTATTCATTAACGAAGTATCAATCGAACGATTTATGTCGCCTAGATACTTATAGTGAACCAGGTGTAGACGAAAATAGTGATAATTCAAGTAAGTCCATTTGCATATAGTTACGATTATGTCATAGCTTTTTAATAGCAATAAGTAGGGAGGTAAGTACTAAAGTTTTTCATTACAGCTTTATTTCTTTTCAGTTACTTGCACCGCGGATACTGATTGTCCTCCGAATGCAATTTGTTCCTTTTCGTCGGAATCATCGTACTTAACAAATGATCAAACATTAGGACACTGCGTGTGTCCTGAGGGTTATGAGGGAGATGCCTATGAGTGCATCGAACGAACTGGATCAAGTTGTACATGCGGCCCAAGTGCCCATTGTGTCGACACAGCTACTGGAGAACTTATGTGCGTATGTGATCCTGGTTACCATGGCGATGGGTACGTTTGTCGACCCAATTTTAGTTGTACAAACGACTCAGACTGTGAATATAATGCAGATTGCCGGCCAGATCCCAATACCAATGAATATGTATGTCAGTGTAGTGAAGGTTTTATCAAAGACCAGAATGACGCGTGTATTCCCGATGGACAGTTATGCAACGGTGCCGTATGTGCAGAACATGCTTCCTGCCTGTACAACGCAACTTTAGAGGTACATTATTGTCGATGTGAAGAAGGCTTCGAAGGTGAGGGCATTTCAAAATGCGTACCACTAGGGAAAACTTGTGATGTTGCTAATGACTGCAGTCCTGATGCTATTTGCACGCCAACCGAAGCAACCTATCAGTGCATATGTCGTGAAGGTTATTTCGGAGATGGTTACAGATGCGATCCAGAACTAAATTGTAGGACAAACATATATCTTTGTGATATCCATGCTTCCTGTTTAAAGACAAGTGACGGATACGGATGTGAATGCAATACAGGATATAATGGAAATGGAAGTCACTGTACGCTGAATCCAAGGCAAGCTGGTAACTTCCTAGTAGCAAGTGACGGAGCATCAGTATATCGTGTGCCATTCAAAGTGACTCCGCGAGAATTCGCAACTCCATTTAACAGTGCTATTTATCAGATTGCCGTCGGAATTGACACGGATTGTCTAACTGGGAAAATTTATTGGGGTGATGTCGGCGCTGGCGCTATAAAGAGGGCTTCGTATGATGGTTCTGATTTCGAACAGTTCTTGTCGTATGGTAAGGCAAATGTACATGTTTAAAAATAAATTACATAAACATACTTTTTTAAATATGTAGATAATTATCTTGAAATTTTCTAGATGTTCAGTCACCAGAAGGTCTGGCAGTGGATTGGGCAGCAAGAAATATATTTTGGACAGATTCAAAGAAACTTACAATAGAAGTAGCAAACTTAGATACAAAAGTAAGAAAGGTATTATTCCATAAAGAAGGTATAATGAATCCTCGTGGCATTGCAGTCCACCCAGGCAAAGGGTAAGACAATATTTTTATTAAATTAGTTTAGGAAATAGTTTTATTGTTAGCAGTATTAAGCCAAGAGGGTTTGGCAAGTGTTCAAATTATTAAGATTTCAGCAATTCGGATTAAGTTCTGAGACATTTCTTATTAATCATATACTATATGTTTTTTTTTTACATATATCACATATACATATTTATCTATTGTTACAGAAAAATCTTTTGGACTGATTGGAATCGCGGTGGTCCAAAGATAGAGTGGGCTAACATGGACGGCTCACAAAGAGGCGTTTTTCTTGACATGAGTGACGTAAAACTACCCAATTCTTTAGCTATTGACTGGTCTAGAGACAGGCTATGTTACACTGACGCTGGCTTCTATAACATAAGATGTGTCAGTATCGACACAACGGAGAGCGAAACGATTGCTAGCAACTGCTCTTATCCATTTGGGCTTGCAATTAATGGGGATAATTACTATTGGACTGACTGGAAAACGTAAATATTTTGTATTGCTTTTAATACATTTGGATAAAAGTTGTATCTGTAAAATAACTTTCATTTTAAATAATAAATGATAAAAATTATGTGTTTTAGAATATATAATTTTATTCCAGATTAAAAATTGAGTATATCAACAATTTTACACAAGCCAAAGGACAAGTACCCATAGCTACAGCATCAAGAAGACTGTACGGTGTAGCAGTGGCTCCTGAATCCTGTCCGGCCCAAAGCAACATATGCCAATATAGGAACGGTCAATGTGAACCTAATCAGTTATGCTTGCCTGATGGACAGGGGAGCAGAACCTGTGTAACCGGGAATACTCCATCTTATTAATTTTAATTACTATTCATATCTTTTTGTAAAGTTGGTAAAATTGATTTATTTATGCAGACTAAAATAGCTTGTACTATTTTTGGAGTCTGTACTATAAAATGCCTACATAATTTATTGCGGTTATGGTAAAAAATAAAAATCAAATTTTAACTAATTTATTTAATAATAAAGGAATACCAAAGCAATAGTTATTTATTGTATTTATTTTTTTATTTCAAAAGCCAAGTTCACACATGTGTATCAAAAGTTAGCTGTAAAGGAATATTCTATGTTATAGATTATAATATTATGATTTTTAAATTAAAAAAAAAAACAATTACTATAACACCACATGAGTGAATACAGCTTAGAAATTAAACATATTTAAATAATTATGCAGCTCTATTGTTTTATTTATAAAACAAAGACCTCTATTGTAAAATGTAAATATATTACCTACAATGTTTTGTTTTTTTTATTTACCATCTACATAATATCATACGTATAAAGATTCGTAGCGGCTTTGAATTTTTAAAGTGAAACTTCTTTAGAATCGTTGTGATTTGAAAGTCGATGAAACGAAAGTGCGACACTAAAAAGAGACAAACACATAAATCTACAGGATTGAGCCGGCGAAAGGATGAGATATAATACATTGCCATGTTGCCATGGTAACCGTTGTTATTGTCTGACAAAATATATATAATATATTATATTCTTTCCGTATATGATATTCTATAAATATATAATTGTAATATGTCTTATTTAATTATTGATTTGATTTAATTTGAGATATTTGCCAAAGAAGTTTTACTTCAACCGCATGTAAAGGTTAGACGCACCCATTTTTTTATTATAAAATTCATTAAAATAAACTATTAGTATTAAATATGCTTCTTATATTTATAAAAATTTGTTATGTTTTTAAATATAAATTGTATTCTCTTCGCATTCCTATCTAATTCCAATGTAGGTCCAAGTAACAAAAGCCACACAGAGTACCAAGACATAATAAATTGCTTTAATTATTGAGATCTGTTGTGGAAGGAAATAAATAACAAATAAAAATATTTCTTTATCACTTTACTTATAATAGTTTACATAGCCATGCAAAATAATGTACTATTTGAAACGAAATCATACGCATAATATGTGAAAGTGTGTTTGTTTGTCTTTCTTTCATGTTGAAACATTGACAGATTGAGATAGTTGGAGGAGAGTGCCATAGGCTAGTTTTTACCGCGGGAGATTATCTCATTCCCACGGGAAACACGTTATAATACAACAAACTCATCATACAAATAACTTACATAGTGTAAAATGAAGTCGCTTCCGCTGTCTGTTCGCTTCGATCTTTTAAACTACTTTTAATTAGGGATGAACCCGAGCGAAGCGAGGGTGAGTCGCTAGTTACTAATAAATATATCCATCAAAAAATCGATTGATAATCGCAATTAAAAATATAAGCCTGTTTCGGTCTATTTATTAGTAACAAAATAAAAAGTTATCATTATAAATAAATTAATAATTATAATATGTTTTAACAATATCTTTTCACTGAGAATTTTTACTTTAAGCTTTTGGATTGGACTACCAATATCAATTATGTTTGTAGGTACATTTAAGTAAAACAATAATAAGGATTTTTACTTTAACATAAACAGATCGTAATATTTAGACTTAGACTTAATAAAATTGTGGAAAACTAAGAATAAATCAAATAATACTCCATTATTTTTTACATTACATTTAGCCCCAAACATCCTCGGTGCGACCAAATTTAAACACTAAAGATCCACCAAATATAAAAGCATTTTGAAGAAACAAGCTAACTCCTGGCCAAGTGTGTTTACTGCTACCTGTTGGAAAATAATGAGATTTATTAAAAACAAAAATATTTATACTTAGTATTCACTTAGTTCAAGGATTAATTATGTTGAGGAGCATAAAGTATAACGGCAATATAAAACGTATTTTATTGCCCTTATATTTGGAATTATCTTTAAATCAGGGCTTCCGAACCGGTTTAAAAATAACAGTTTGTTTCAATAATGTTATGGTTAATTCATCACTCATTCTTTTACTGGTTAATGAAAACGATCAGTTTAGTAAACGGAAATAATAATGGTTAACAGGTTTTCTTAGAGAAAGATTGAATTTCGGATTTGATACCAAAGTATACAGGTTAATTCATTCATAAGTAAGAAACGTACATGTATCCTTATTGACGACATGTTTGGCTCGGTTTGTAGTGACCCTACTTGTTGTGTCAGCGGTCGCTGTTTCGAGTTCCGCTGGGGGCATTCATTTGTGTGATGAGCACAAATGTTTGTACTCCAGTTATGGGTGTTCATATTTATAATATGTATGTAAAAATAATACATACTATGTATTTACAGTTAGTTATGTATCAACTATCTGGTATCCATAACACAAGCCTTGTAGCTTAATATGGAACTAGATGGTGCTGTATGTTAATGTCCCAACATATTTATTTTATTTATCCTTCTAATAAGCAATTCACCAAATGTAAACACACAAAAACTCATTTTAAGAGGTCATGGGACCTAAATTCGTCAAAAACCATTCTCCGAGATTTAACTGGTAAAAGAATGTGACCAAAATCTTAAACCGAATAGCCTTTTGGTGTAGTGTTTATAACTAAAACTGGTTAAAAAATTGAATGGGTTTTCGAGCCTTGCTTTAAAATATATCATTCAATTAGACTGTAAATGTAATTAGCTTTTTATATTTATCTTTAAGCCGACAACTCCATTTGTATGGTACCTATATATTATTATGTCAATAAAAAAACCTTGTTTTAATGTAAGAAAGAAGGTATCCTTGTTTTGAATTAAATTTTAATAAAGTTTGAGGAATTAACGAATACATTCGCTCACAACCTTTCCTATCTAATCAATTAAAAGATCTTGAAGTTTTATATAATTATATCTTTTTACTTGAAAGAATTATTTACATGGTTTACTTTTAAGCCAAACCCATATATTTCTTACAATGTAAAACCTTGTTATAATCTCATTATATTATGAAGAAACATGTCACATAACCAAATCACACACATAATCAAATACCCTATAAATAATCTTTTCCTTGCTTACTTCATCCTGTGAATAATTCACATTTAAAAATACTGAATACACATTGTACTAATCTAGAAAAGCACCATTTATATAATTTTTTTTGTAGATTTTCTTTCATATTCAATTATTATTTTAATTCGTAGCCAGGATTATCATGCTGCTCGATCAAAAATATCATATAACTACTGATCTGTACTCAAGATACATACATAGATCAATAGTCTCTTTCTCTAGTTTATCTTTGACATACAAATTACAAACATCATACCTGCATTTACATAGTTAGCAAACAATATCCAGCAGGCTGCAATGAGAGATGCAAAACCCACAACAAAACCAAGGAATAACCATAGTCGAGCACCACGAGGGCCCATACATCCACCTGTGTAGGTTTCTCCACGAACCTGGAATCAATAATGTTATTTTTAATTTTATTCTTATCATGCCCACTGAGATTAAAATATTTCTAAAAATTTTTAGTTATGTTTTAGTGTAATATCAGCAATAAAACTGAGAAGAACTATGGGAAGGTTTAATTAGACTTATAAAATAAACAATGTTTATCTTAGTAATACAAAGTAAAAAGATTAAGATGTTTATGTATATCATAATATTTTACCTGTGCATTGGAAACAGAGTTAACCATAAGTAAAGATAAAGTAGCCATTACTCCACACACATGGGCTGCATTGGGAAGTTCACCAGGATAAACTGATGCTGCATCAATGATGAACCACCATCCAGTAAAGAACTAGAATCATGGAATTTTAAATATAGAAAAATACATCTAAACTAAGATTGTTTTTTCTATAACATTAACTACGCAATAATATTTATTGTTTGATGTTACGTATCTTTATATTATAATATTTATGTACAGAAAAGTTAAGTTATATAAAAATAAGTTATGCACAAAGTGAGAGTAGTTATGAAAGAATGCAAACAAAGTGATTCATCAAATAACAAACCAAAAAGCCAGCAAATATAGATGCTAGAATGTTCCGTTTCTCTCCACTTTCAAACCAAACACAAGATGGCATAGACATATTTTCAAAGCAGCTCATTTTGAAATTAAATTATTATAAATAATTTTGCAATACGCGATTGTAGATTTGTTTCACGATTGACAATAAACGAAATACGAATATAGATTATACTTTATAGTTGCCAGTTGTCACTGTCATAAGCATTTGCAGATTAAAGATAGGCCATAACGTATAGATAAAATATAATAAAGAAGGAAAATTATTTTGATGAGAATATGACATATAACTTTTAGAATCCTTTAAAAGACTGAAGAGTAAAATAAAACTGTATTTTCGGATTTTGTCGCGGTTTTATTTAAAAAAAAATGTTTTTGATTATTTCGTCTAGCAAACATGGTCACGGGAGAGACTGTGGGGAACAATAATCTGTATATCTGTATATGTAATATATAATAATATAAATATTATAGATGTGAAAGAAAAAATGTAGGGATCCCGTTGGATAGGTTTGTTTTTGTATAAAATAAAACCGTGAAAAAAGTTTGATTTTTTCAGTTAGTTTCACAATCTCAGTTTTTCTAAAAAACGCCTTTATATTTTAATTACAATACTTTTTCTCATCTTTTTTATAAATTGTAATATAATAAATGTTATAAATTTGATAAAATACAATAGGATAAACATTATTTTTATTTACATGAAAAAAAATACAGTGAAATTATACCTGAAATGAAGAATTGTGACAGTTGCATTTTTTCTTCGCTTCTTCATACCAACGATTTAGTGTTTTGTTACTTTGCTAAACCTATTTGAAATTAAGGACAGATAAATTCTGCTTCCCGTTATAGTAATAAAACTATTTTAGTTTGTGGAGTTTGATGTCAATGGGCTTATTTCTTCCACAAATACTTAACATAAAATAATAATATTATGCTATAAGCATGGAATAAGGAACTTAAATTGTATGAAAATGTCATCATTAAGTAGATAGGTACAATCGCTTATTGTTAAAACGATTAACTTGATTATTTTTAATTCAACCCCTACATCTTCGTTTCTGTATTTAGATCGACACTTATTCTAGGTATATCGCCGCGGGATCTGCTAGTATCCCATATATGTATCCCTATATTTTATCACGCAAATACATAATTATTACGTGTAAATAATTGTGATACGATGAAATCTCAGTGAAATTTAATTTTATTATATATTGTAAGGGGCCGTTCATAAAATACGTTAAATACCGTTTTACCCGACTGCATGGAAATGGTTATTGTTTTCGCGCCTATCTTTGTATGTTTGTAATATTCTTTATCATTTCCTTCATATCTTCCAAACCACTCGATGGATTTCATTAATTAAGGTATCGTTAAATTCGTCTCATTAGTCCAAGTATTCTTAGATAGGTGAAATAAAAAAATTAAATATGGGGGCTGCTAGATTCCATAATGTGATAAAGAAAAAAATGAAATCGACGAACTATTTCAATTGAGGTATTGTTGAATTAAGAGGTATTTAAAAAACATTTTTAGGTTTCTTTCATCATTTTTCATTTTAAATAACAGTTTAGGATATATATTGATTTAAAGTTGGTCATTTGGTAAGTTGGACATTTTCGCTAATTTTTCTACTTAAAAATACTTAAAAAGCTATAAATAAATAAATATATTATAAAATTTCATTCAATTTATCTTTTCAGAGCAGTCGGGTTTTTTTATTTTTTTTTATATATATTTATTTAGAGTTCTTTTTTGTAGTTTAGCGCGAGCCAAGCCGCGGGTTTTTCTAGTATAAATATAAATATGTTGGAACATTAACATATGTAGAATCCCTAATAAAACTTCGAGATATTCCTTGCTTATATTCTTATATGCAATACTTTTATAAACGTCAGTAAGTTACATAATTTATAATAATAATTTTCAGTATTACAAACAATTCGTAGTGACGTACAGGGTGGTACCGACATCTCTGTCCCCAAAGCGCGGGAAAAGAAATGAATATCCTCGCCCTTTTTATTTTTTTTAAAACACATTCCTATCGGCCAAGGTCACATAAGTAAATACCTTATACATAAATCATTACAAATTAATCAAATATATTATTTTCTATTAAAACACTCAATATATAAAAATGCAACCTTTCACATACAACACCATATTCTAGTTCCATGGTAAGCTACGAGGCTTGTGTTATAGATACCAGATAGTTGATTCATTACACATACACGTATATTACTTTATTACATACATTCGTGCTCGTCTTACAAATGAATGCCCTCAGCGAGACTCGAACCCGCGACCGCTAGCACAGCAAGTAGGGTCACTACAAACTGAACAAAACATGTCATCAATAGAACATAGTAATTTCTCTTAACAAAGTATACCTATAAACTACGTGACCGGCGACAGTCATAATAGTAGAAGAGTCTATTCTATGCAATTATTCTTTGAATTGTTTTGTAAGAGTTTCCAAGGAACAAAGAGTAGTGCCAAACGACTATCGAAGAATCTCAGTCATCCGAATTTTTCTTTAAAACAAAACTCCCTCATTACTCAGCCACGGTTTCCCTTCAAAAGCAATTTATCGCCCAACTTTTTACGGTCATTTATTCTGAATATAGAATAACGATTGTATAGATTGACCAATTATTTAATTGTTTTTGTAAATTATTTTATTTTAATATATTATTGTGATATTTTCAAGTTTATTTAGTTATAATAAGACAGGGAAAAATATAAATCGACTTAAAAATAATATCGATACTAAACAGTATTAACAATAAAATTTTATTTTAATATTGTTTGCGAATAGGCAGATATATCGTTACAGGTTGTTGTTTTGTTTTCTACTTTACAAAAATATTAAAATAATAATAATTAGATAATATTCAATAATTGCTTCTGAAAATACAGTACTCTGTGATTATGTGAAAGAAATTAATAATTGAATGTAGTTTTGGGGTTCGCGGTGTCTCCGCATCACTTCCGGATCTGGATTATTCGCTATTTCCTGTTTACCTTGATTGTATGTATTTGTTACTTTTTAGGGGGAAAAAAATGTTATGAAACTTTTCCCTCTTTTTTCCCTAAATTGTGTATTAACTCGTATTTTCTACCAAATTGTAAAATTTAGTTTTGTAATGTTTTTACAGTAAAGTTAATAAAGTGCCTAATACGCCTTTTAAGCCATTTTAACTAAATACAAAACGTGGCATTAGAAAATTATTTTGATGATCACTTGGTATGTTGGTTAAAGTGCCTCGGTGGTCTGGCGGCTAGAATATACGGCTGCAGATCCGGAGGTCCTGGGTTCGAATCCTTGTCTAGGCCAAGCTTAATTACTGAGTTTTTCTGTTAAGATATTCTCAGTACGAGTAATAGCCCGGATTTGGGAAGTTGGAGGTGTTTCATCTCTGTGCCTCGGAGAGCATTTAAAGCCGTCGGTCCTGCGCCTACACTTGCGTACACGCGTACACTTGCGTATTATAATATCTCCTTCGCATCTGGCTTCGCATTATAATATCTCCATAAAATCTGTAAGGAGGATATTATTATTATTGGTAAAGGTCTTTAAGTCGGAGATTTGAGTTTTACTGCTGTCAAATATGCAAAGCATTATTCATAGATGGAAAAATTATACGATAGTTATATTTTACAAAAAAATCTAATTAAACAAGCAAAACAAGTCGTTTAAATTAGCTCATTAAAAGAAATTAAAAAAATGGTCAGCAAAATTTTCTAATTTGAAGTGGGATAACAAGAAAAATATCGTATACCAATACTGACCACGATGATAGACGATCTGTGGATTTCAGCTTCTAGCTAGAACGTGACTGGGTTACAGCTGACGTACTTAGGATGTTTATCTATTTTCTTACATTTGCTTTAAGTGAGATGTCACGCCCTAAACGTAAATGGCTTTGGGTAGAATTTATTGAAAGTCGTTTTAAGAACTAAATTTAGTAAAATAGTATAATTCTAAAAAACCCTATTTAGAAAACTTACAGAATTCGACATTCAAGCTTTATTAATATTGCTTGTAGTATTTACATATGTAATACGTATGTATTTACATCTTTCTTATCATACTAGCGTTTTTTCGCGGTTGCGACCGCATTTTTTACATTCGCGAATTTGCTCCGCTCTCGTATGTCATAGTGTGAGGAAATATAGCCTTCTTTAGTAAATTGGTTATAATTTATATTATATATCTATATATTTTTTAAAACAGATCAGTAAATCCAGAGATTATATTATGTACACATAAATAAACAAACAAACTCTTCAGTTTTATTTATTATTATAGATGTGTTATTTAATATTTTACGTTTTTTAACATATTGGGTAAAAATCCGAATAAGATATTTATTAATAGACTATAGGAATGGCATCCTAAGTTTCTAAATAAACACAATTTTACCATGTCATACTGCGCCACAACTGTGAACAAATTATGTATGTATATTATTTATTATACCTAAATAATTTTGGCAGGAACCTAATGCTCACAGTAATAAAGCTAAGAATTTTTAATTAGTCAAATACAATGCTTTGATGATATCTTGCTGAGGACATCCATGTTATTCGACAGTAAAGAGTTTATGGCTCGTATCGTGAAGTCTCGGTTTGAGTGCCGTATCAAATATCACTCGAAATTATGAGCGCGGTGCGCTAGTGATAGCGTTAAAATAACTAGATTAAAATAGTTTTTAAGCTAATAAGTATCCTTTAAATAACTTTAAGTTTCTAAGCTTTTTAGTGACGTACCTCTTAAATAAAAAGTTTTTTTTTGCGTTTTAAGTACATAAATAATATGTTAATTTTTAAAAAGTTGGTTCGTTGTTAGGTTGTCATTATTTTACACTGTGACATTTTTTCCGTAGAGATACGTTAATAAAGGCCACAAATAATAGGCCACTTAGGCTCTAGTTCCGGGAGAATAGCTTACAAAAGGTTAATTATGATGATAATTAATAAAGATGGAAACTAAAACTGTAAAAGTAGTTTAATGTATAAAAAGTTTAAAAGATTTTAATTTATATAAAGTAATTAAGTAATAAAAATATTACAATA